TTCAAAGATGACAGTGCAGGGAAGGCATATAAGGAGAGAGAGAGAAAGGGAGAGCTTTTCTCAAATAGCCTGATTTTAGGCAATTGTCAGCAAATACCTGTTATCTCACAGCTAGGAGGGGAAAGAAATGAAAATATATATTGCATTTTTTAAATCATAAGGACCAGACCTTAAAAATCCTTTTGAAATCCACCATTTATTTGATAGATACATAAATCTGACAGCTGGAAAGAAGGCCTATTCGGAAAAGCTGGGGCGTCACCATTGTTGAGACCACTTGTCATTTCACATGAGGCTAGAGCCTTGTGGGAGAAAGTCAGCCCAAGGGTTCTGTCTTCATTTTTTTAAAATGTTGTATTTATGGAGCAGGATCAGTTTTATGTATCTCAGAAAGTCTACAATTCTGTGCTCACGGCCATTTGCTGACTAATGTCTCCAGCAGAGAACGACAAGCAAGTTCATGAATTACGGCTGGCTTTGACGTTTCTTATCAAGAGTGTTTTTTTATTTTAAGAACCTCTGCTTTGATTAAAGCCATTAGAACCAGGAGCAAATAAAAACGTGTCTGATTTTCACATGTCTGGCATTTTATAACAGGAGCCCGGACGAAACCTGTCTTAATTCTCACAACCCTAAGGCGAGTGATGAGTATTAACCTAGTAAGTTCAACTAGTTTCGCCTCCATTATCTGGTTTGGGGTTCTAAAAAAAAATCCTGTGGCAGGAGACTTGTTGGTTGAGTCGGACTTTTACTTATTTATATCCTCTACTTCGATTCAAAGATATTTTCAATACCCCTCTTTGCTGCAAAAATTATTCTAAAAGTGACTTGGTTGAAGAATGTGTTGGAAGGTGGGTTCTGGGTTGAGTGAACCTAGAAAAATCCGTATCAAATTATTTTTATATTCCCACAAACTAAAAAAGAAACCCAACTGCATAGTAAATACACAAGACAGAAGTGATGTAAAATTATCTGAAATGAATAACAAAGGAGACCGGACAGTTGTTTTCTGTTGGTTTACTAGAACGCTTCAGGGTCTCTTTCTCCTCAGCTTGACCATGGTTCTGTGGCTGATTGTTTGCATTCTTGAAATGTTCGGTGTTTTTCTGATTCTGTGATGTGAAATCATGAGATCCCTCTGTGTTACCACACTTCAGGGGGACATAGGGCTGGACATGGAAGATGCTGTGAGTGTCTATTTAATGTAGCTGGAACAGTGGAGTAGGTATTTCTTAGAACTCCCAGGTCCCTCAGCTCTGCCCTTGATGACACTTTCTGGTGGAGTATTTTTCTTTAATCTCTGATTTGCCACTCATGGGTCTCAGTTCAATTTCCATCAGCTTCCTTTCTGGCCCCCAAGCCTGCACTCTAAAAATGTCTATCCTTGTTGGGCCTTTCACTTTGCCTTGTTTGTCCATCCCCCATGTGCTCAGGCCCTCTGTCCTTGAACTGGAATATCATGTAGGTGGGTGTATTCACGGGGCAGATGTTACTGTATTGGCTTTCATTGTCCACAGTTAGTGACAGTTGTTATTTCTTACTGTGGATTATGGCCGATGTGGAAGCGGTCGGTAGCTAGGCAGGACACGCAGTAGGTACCTTGTGCATATAGAAATTCCATATATCAACTTTTTTCTGTTGTCTATTATCTCAGATCTGTCAAATATCCATAGATCAATAGATAATATTCCATTGACCCCATTGTGTTTATTCCTAATTAATTACCTATTGAATGAGAGCTCTCTGGCTTGGTTGAGATGATTAGCATGCTAGAAATTGCCCATACCCTTCAGGGCCTGAAATAGCCTTTTCCATATTGTTTCCCCTATGAATTTTTGAGCACCACTTGGACATCCTAAATAGTTAGCTAATAGAACAAAGTTGTCAGTCCTGGCTCTGTGTATTCCTGTGCGGGATTGGTACACCTTAACTGGTGAGTTATCTTTGATTTGGGATATGTAGAGCTCTAGATGTGGGTGTGTATGATATGCATGCATCTATAAAAATGTTACTCCTCCATGCTTCTATGCAAATCAGTTTTAAAGTATCACATGGTACAGCTGCATTTTTACTTCTGATGGAGGAAGTCCATGAGGGTTAATTGCCTCTAGGCCTGGCTAAGTGATCAGCAAGGGATTGGGTGAGGGAGGGACAGAGAGAATCAAGAAAATCCTTGGTTCTTGTCCTCACATATCCTGGAGTCCTCTGGGGGCCCAAGGCATGTGTTCAACGTGTGGCCCAACACATGCTCTTTTGCGAGTCAGTGGGACGTGCTCTGAGAAGAGCTGAGTGATGGGATAATTAGAACCAAGCAGACAGCAGGGTGGATGGTTTGTCTGCAGATAATAGCTTGTTTGCTAATTGCCAACACCAGATTTACTGGGCAATTAGACATTTGGTGTCTTCCAAGACCTTCTGTGCAAATGTGGACACATGGCCGTGGGCCTTGCAGGTAGCAGGTGGAGGGAAGGTGGCTCCCACTGCTGGATGGCATCTCTCTGCAGGCTGCCCAAGGGGCCGTGGGCAGGGCAGACTTCTTGCCAACAGGTGGGAAAGACCATCTGGCTGGGCTCCCTGGCAGAGAGGCTGGACTCCCCCTACTTTATGGAAGGGGGTGCCCTTAGCTGGGAGATTCGCAAAGAGAGTGGACTTCAGCAGGCTGGGCCAGGAGCTGGGCTTACGTCTCTGTTCTCTTTTCAAGAGCACCAAGCCATGGGTGCTCCTAGGAATCAGAAATTGCTCTCCCTCTAAGATGAGCAAGTTGAGTTTTTTTAAGGAAAAATTTCATATTTTGATAAAGTATATATAACATAAAATTTGCCCTTTTGATCATTTTTAAGTGTACAGATCAGGAGCATTAATTGCATTCACAGTGTTGTGCAACCACCATCACTACTATTTCCAGACCCTTGACCTCACTCAGAATAGAAACTCAGCATTCCCATTCCTTCCTCCTCCCTCCCAGCCCCTGGAAACCTCTAATCTACTTTCTGTCTCTATGAACTTGCCTATTTTAGATATTTCATGTACGTGGGATTATACAATACTTGTCCTTTTGTGTCCAGCTCATTTTACTTGGCGTATTGTTCTCTAGGTTCATCCATATGGTAGCGTGTAAAAGAACTTCTTTCCTTTTTACAGCTGAGTAATATTCCATTGTATGGACACACCACATTTTGTTTACTCATCTGTTGATGGAGACTTGGCCTGTGTCCACTTTTTGGTTATTATGAATAATATCACAGTGAACGTGCACATACAAGTGTCTGAATCCCTCTTTTCAGTTCTTTTGGGTAGACGCCTAGGCATGGAATTGCTGGGTCATATGGTAATTCTATATTTGACTTTTTGAGGAAGCACTAAACTGTTTTCCATAGCAGCTGTACCATTTTGCACTCCCACCGGATATCTACAAGGGTTCCAGTGTCTCCATATTCTTGCCAACATCTGTTCTTTCTTTCTTTTTTTTTTTATAGCCACCATCTTAGTGGGTGTGAAGCCGTAACTCATTGTGGTTTTGATTTGCATTTCTCTAATAACTAATGATGTTAAACATCTTTCCACATGCTTATTGGCCATTTGTGTGTCTTCTTTGGAGAAATGTCTGGTGAAGTCCTTTGCCCAGCAAGTTGGTTTCGGACCTCTGTACGGACTCGCCTCTCCGTGTTTCTCCCAGGGGTTGGAACTAGAGCCTTTCCAGGAGGAGGGAGTCCAGATGCCTACAGAGAGTGGGGGTGGCTGTGCAGATTCAAAGGCTCACAATCACCCTTTCGTGATTCATTTCATTCCCTCAGCCCATTTGGCACCCAGGGTAATGATGCTATTTGAGTTCTCATCGAGCAGGAAAACACAAAAACCAGTAAGTGTGTGGGATTAACCAAAGCGATGTGGCAGCAGGGGCAGATGGGGCCACTGCTATACTCCCTTAGAAGCAGACAGGCCTTTCTCAGTCACGTTGCACCCTCTGGGTTTCCTTGACCACCGGTGTGTTTTAGCAAACTACCCATTCCTTCCTACCAGGTAGTAGGCTGTGTGCTAGATGGAGCTGTATTTGCAGAGCATCCCAGTCAGCGCCCGGGATTTGTGGGTGCCCAGGGTCACTCACCGTCGGTGCTCCGCTGCTTGCCGGCCCTGCCAGTCCTGGGCGGTGGGCAGGGAGGCCAGCGTGGAGCTTCCAGCGGGGACAGTGTGACTTCTCCCTGGGTGCTCATTCCTGGGGGAGGGCCACCGGGTCCTGGCAAGGTGTCAGGACAAATGTCAGCGCCTGCGTAACTGTGAGATTAGCAGGGCAATCGATACAATGATGTTCAGGCAGCTTTGCTATTGGCTCTTCTCTGGTTTGACCTCATGTCTGTTGTGGGGCCCGAGGCGCGGGGTCCGGGGATGCTGAGCTACCTGACTTTCTGCCATGGTTTTTCTTACTGGATGTCAAGAGCCATCAGGATCACTGAAGAGAGAGGAGTTTCCCACATTGTGATGCAGCCTTCTGCCAGAGGGAGGGAGGAGGTGATGTGTCCACTAAGCAAGGAAGTTCTTTCTGGAAGCTGTATTCTTGTCCTTTTTTCCTATAATAGGGCTTGTTGATCTGTAGGGTAGGGCAAGGAACCTGGAATATCTTCCAAAAAAATGCACACAAACATTTGCTCAGGTGGCTACAGGTTCCTCTGGTCCATCATGGTGCCCAGGTGAGGGTCTGGCCCTTTAGAGAGCACAAGCCTGGAGGTGAGGCATGTGGGGATCGGGCAGTGTCTCTGCGAAGTGGGAGTTGGGTGGGACGTAGTGAGAGGCCTGGTGGTCACGGGGAGAGAAAGAGTGTTTCATTTGGTCGTTCTAAATACCAAACACAAGGGAGTGCCAGAACAGACAGACTACGTGTGTGGCGGGGTTCAGGCTTCCAGGCGACAGCAGCACCTGCCCATAGCAGGAAGCCCCACGGCTCATTCCTGCCCCCAGGCTCAGCCCACACTGCTTCTAAGGAGGGCCTCTGTCTTTCCTTTCAGAAACAGCCCCCACGTCTGCATATTCCTCTCCAGTCCGGAGTCTGGGGGACACAGGAATCACGCCGCTGTCCCCTTCCCATATCGTGGTAAGAAATGTGTATCTATGTGCTGACGATCTTTGCTTTCTGGATCTGCTCTCACGAGCCAGGCTGCTGGGCAGCCCCTCACCTTCGTGGGTGGGGAGTACATGGTCCCGGGACTAGTCCTGTGAGCCCACCAAGCCCCTTCCCCACCCTCGGCCTGAGAAGGCTTTTTGTGGTGTGGCTGGTGCTTCCGGAGCTGTTGGCTTGGGTGCATTAGCAGGTGCATTTGGAGGCTGAGGGCCCAGAGACAGCGAGGCGTCCCTTTGGAAGGGAGCAGCCACCTCTGGCCGGGGCATCGGTGAAATGCAGCGGCTTTTTGACTGCAGTTAACTGCCCGGTCTGCAAGCCTGTGGCTGGGCTGGCTTCTGCATCAGCTGGCCCGGGAGAGAAGGCCTGGATGGGGAGGGGGCTGCAGACTGGGCATTTGTTCCCACCCTACCCCTCAATGAGAAGATGGATTTTTTGTGGGGCAGCTGTTCAAGGGATTTACACATAGCCGACCAGAGAAAAGTCCCCGGGGAGGGGTGGCTTTGCAGGAGGGGGCACCAGCTTGTCCTGGTTTTCCTGGAACTGGCTGGGTTTCACCTCACTCAGTGTCCCGGAACTCCATCAGTCCTGGGAGACTGGGAGGCTGGCCTCCTCTGGCCTGGTCCTCACACTGCGGGTTTCCAGACGGCGCCCTGAGGGGTCCCTGTAGGAGCTTCGGGGTAACCTCGGGGTGTGTGGGGAGTGGGGGGCAGCGTGAGGAGAGGCCAGATGGATTGGGCTCTCACCCCCTGCTCTAAGCAGTACACTTCAAGCCCGACATTGATTGGTTTATAATGTGAAGTTCTGTGGATATAAAAAAAAGTCTATACTGCTTAACAAACAAACAAACAAACAAACAAACAAAGGTTTGGAAACCTGGAATGGCCTGACTCACTTGCCTGATGTTGAGGAAAGGCTCTGGCCCCTGAAGGGACAGGACTTGGTAGGATCGCATGGCCAGGGCCCCTGGCATGCAGAGCCCTCCTCCCACTCACAACATGCCTGAGCAGGTGGAGTGGTCACTGGGGCTGTGGCAGGGCCACAGCTGGTAAGGCATTCTGGACAGTGTCTGCACAGGAGTTCGGGGAGGGCGGTGAGGGAAGGATTGTGTCACTCGAGGAACCACTGGGCTTCCAGACTGGATGGACTTTCCACAATTAGTCGTGTTCATAAGCAGTTGATAAAGGCGGGGGCAGGCTGTGGGCAGGTGCCTTCTCGCTGGCAGCCTGGCCCTCCATTTCTCCTTGAGCCACCATGTGGGGGCTGAGGCTGGCCTGGCCTCTCCGTAGGGCTCACCACGCGGCACACTTGAGCCAGAGTTCTGTCTGTAGGGGGTGCACAGCTGGGCAGGCGGGAAGGCCAGGCTCGGCCACCCCCACCCACCCCTCATGCCTTACTCCGAACACCCGCAGAATGATGCTGACCCAAACGTCTCAGAGCAGCAGATGTTTCTGGTGGTGGTGGCCATTGACTTTGGAACCACGTCCAGTGGCTATGCCTACAGCTTCGCCAAGGAGCCAGAATGTATCCACGTGATGAGGTGAGTGCTGTGGGTGCGGAGGGCCGTGTGTGGGCACCAGTCACTGTACCTGTGGAGACTTGGAGGAGGGCCCTGGGGGAGGGGAGGGGGTTCGTTTAAGAAGCGGGTGAATGGCATTTAGTAGGCGGGTCCTAGATTCTGGCCCAGCTCAGCCCAAACCCCCTGTGCCCCTTTTGGGTAAACCATTCTCATCTCTGGGCTCCAGGTTCCTGGTCTGTAAAAGCATTGCTTTAATTCTGACTCAGTGGGTCTGGGGAAGGGCCTGGACAGTGTGCTTGAAACCTGGCCTGGGTTATTCTAGCATGCATCCCGGGGAAGAGGTACTGACGTGTAGGGTATTTGTGCTGGAGGAGGTCCAGGCGTCAGCTCGGCCACGTACTGTGTGACCTTATGCAACTGCTGGACCTCCTAAACCTCAGTTTCCTCATCTGTGAAATGGAGGTAGTGGCAATGTCTGTCTCACAGAGTGTGTGTGCGTATGAAATGAGATTTCCTGCCAAGCTTAGTACATAGTAAAGTGTAAGCAGGGAAGGTGCTAGCCCTTAAGTGAGAGTAACCAGAAAGCAGAGTGGGGTGAATTTCAGGGTCACCCTGAAGTTGCCCGGGGTCTCTTGGGACACACTCTGTGCTCAGGACACTGCTGCCCTCCTCCATCTCGCCCCGCCATGCACACAGCAGCCTAAAACCGCCCTCTTGTCCTCCCCATCCACGCGTGACGGGCTGTCTGCGAGGACTCTGGTCTACCCTGGCCCCCACGCGGGCTCCAGCTCTGGTGCGGGGCTCTCCCGCAGAGTCTGTGGCCCCTCAAAGCTTTGGGGGGCCAGGCGTTTATCACTCTGATTTTCCAAATCCAAGGACGGCTCTGAAGATAGATTGTGATGGGTTTTGCAACTCCTTTACCTGGCAACTGTGGAATTTAGTTATGGCTCCCAGAGTAAGATCTTACGCATTTTTGCAGTATGCTGCTTAAAACATAAGTCATAATAAAAGTGACCCCCCCACCCCAATCTTGGCTTGGATGTCCTAAGAGGCTCCAGAGCCCCTTGGGTGTCATATCTTCAGGAAATAATGGAAAGCCAGTTCTGGTAGAGAGCCCCGATGACAGCAGAGCCCTCTTGTCTAGTCGCCACCAGGATTCTGCATCTGGGTAGCTAGATACCTGCTGCGAGGTCTGCTCTGCCGTCCCCAGGGATGGAAACCCCGAAGGGAGAAGAGCATGCTGTAAAAAGCTAGACTTCTCCATAGTTGTTTTGAGAAATGTTATTTCAAAGGGATCGTCTTGCAGTGAAATTGAAAAAAAAAAAAAAATGAAGAGCAGACATAACACTGAGATTGCTTGGGAGGGATCCACACAGTATCAGCAGCGCTCAGGCCTCTAGAGAGATCATCTCTGTTCTTGTAGAGAGTTTGGAGGGAGGCCCTACCTGGATTTTAGTTCAATCAGAACATGTTAACCTTGATACAGACTGACACAATTATGGTTGAGAAAATTCAATTTTTTTGTATGTATTTTAATAGGAATGAAGGAATAAAAATTGGAAGGGAAATAACTCAGGAGGTTCATCGCCTAGTGAAAATGTCAGTTGTTAATGGGAACAGAAAGTCCATTTGTGAGCGGTCATGTGGGGAGTGCCCAGGTGCCCGGCGTCTGGGGTGGTGAGCATCCCTGGTCTCAGTGCACTCATCATGGGGACTTTGGCTCCCTGGGTAGAAGCCTGCATCTTGATGAAGCTTGACTGGGGAACCTGTCAGGGATGATTCCAGACCCAGCTGTGTGGCAAATCCAGGTTGGCTCTCCACCTGGATTGTGATTGGTCCCACCGAAGCTTAATGGTGCTATGTTGGGAGCAGGTGAGCTCAGCCACCCTCCCAGGAGGCCAGGGAGAGGCGTGCTTCCTCTAGTACAACGTGTCGCCACCAGAGGCTTCTCGTGGTGGTCCCGTGGCTAGTGGCAGTACGGGAGCGTGCTGCAGAGTCAGAACCTGGGAGAGGAGAGCATCCTGGCCGTCTTGGCAGATGCGGCTTCTCCTCTCTTCCAGAGGAGGGGAGGCACCAAGTCACTTGCCTTCTTCACTCTCCTTCCTATTCTCCTTTCTACCTAAGAGAAGGAAGGAAGCTTCCCTGGGGCTCCACCTACTCCCTGCCCCACTCCCTTACCCCCCCATGAGCTCCAGGATGGACTCCCATGGTCTCCGCTAATCTGTCCATACTCACCTCTCTCCTCTTCTGGGGCCTCTTCAGCACTCAGCCTTGCAGGAATAGTCCTTTCCCACCTCCCTGTTCCCATCAGGGCTCTCCTGCCTCCTTGTCACCATGGCTGTCACCCTGGTATGGAGGCACCCAAGTCTGTCTCTCCTCCTGGATCTCTCCTGTGAACCCCAGGCTTCCATCTCCAGCCCCCTCCTGGGAGTTCAGTGCCAGCAGGTTCACCTGGAGTTCCCTCGTTCCCTGCAGTCTCCTTGGTTAACCAGGGCTCCAGGTTTCTGGGAAGGGGGCTTTCTCCTCTGGGCTCCCAAGTGGGGGCCTCTGGTGCCTTGGCTCCTGCTCACACCATGGCCATTTGGCTTGGTTCTCCCTCGGGATGGCTCATCCTCCTCCATCCCTTTCCTCTGCCCTTGTTTAAGGCCCCTTGCCTCTGCTCCCAGATGAGGCCTGAGGCTCCTCCTCAGCCTCCTGGCTTCCTGTCTAGTTCAGTGTGCTCTGGTCAACCCCAGCTCTGATTCTGCCATGCCCCTGCCCTCCAACCTTTAGTGGCCTCCCGTTACTCACTCATTAATTCTCTCCCTTCCCAGGGTTCTCTTCAGCCTGGTTCCATACACCTTCCCAATCTTGTTTCTCACACTTCCCATTTATACACTCCTTCTCCACCCAAGCCAATCACTTAGCATCCCCGCACAAACCCCATGTTCTCCTACCTCTGAGCAGCCTGCAGTGCCCTTCCATCCTTCAAGATCCTGGCAGCTCTGTGTCAGTCCTTCGAGTCTCTCCTTAGCCCTGCATTCCTCCCCTTGCCCTACCATCCGGCACCTCTGCCTTCTCTGACCCCTAGGGCATTTCTTGGGTCCCTCGTTCCCATGTGATAAGGCAGGTATTTATGTATTTGTTTATACCCTACCTTGTCTTAGAGAGGACACAAGTCAGCTATACATTTGTTTTGAGGGCTTGCAAATTAAAAAAAAGACCCCGCCCCCCACAAAAAGACATAACCTCCTAGGTTGTGAGTTATTTGAAGGCAGAGACATAAAGGTTTCGTGTCTGTGTCGCCAGCACCCGGCACACAGTAGGTGCTTAGTGAACATGGAGTGGATGGTCAAAGCAGACCTCGTTCCTGAGCAAGACCCTGGTGCTTGCCCCTTTCCTTCTTCTCTCTGACTGAAGTCGGGTCTCTGATCACCACTCAACCAACAGAACCAGAGTGCACCTGTCGCGGCTCCCGTGAGCACCCACATCCGTAAGAATCGTGCACACAGTAGGTGCTCCAGTCAGTGCCGCCTGAACTAGGATTATGAAGGAAGGTTCTCATAACCTCTGCCTTTCCTTGATGTCAGGCGATGGGAAGGGGGCGACCCTGGGGTGTCCAACCAGAAGACTCCGACCACTATCTTGTTGACTCCGGAGAGGAAATTCCACAGCTTTGGGTATGCCGCCAGGGACTTCTACCATGATCTGGATCCCAACGAGGCCAAGCAGTGGCTGTACCTGGAGAAGTTCAAGATGAAGCTGCATACCACGGGGGTAAGCGAGCCTCTCCCTGGCCCCAAGTCCTCCGCATTGGAGAGCCAAGGTTCCTCCAGCCCCGAGGTCTTCCCAACCCAGGAAACCCTCAGGCTTCTCCTGAGTAGAAAGTAACATCCATTTGCCTTGATTTTAGAAGCAACCTGGAGCACACAACACTTTTGCGGAATACACGGCACTTTCTGATACACACATGGGCAGGGAGATATTCAGAATATTTAACAACGTGTGTGCCTTGGCAACTGACCGGTCAGAGTGGACACTGGCTGGAGCCCCGGCCGAGGGGGCTGGGGGCTCCCTGCTATGCCAGGAGATCCCTCTGCAGTTGCTGGGTTGTTGGGAGATCCGGGGATTCTGAAGGCAGGCCTTGGGGGCCGGGGGCAATTGGGGGACCCAGGGCAGTGGCGATTAGCTAACAAGTTTAGAAGTAAACCTGTGTGGGGAAGTGGTAGCTCAGGAAATCAGGTGCCCAATTTATTGGAGGCTCAACTCCCAGCATGCAGTGTTCTGTAAGCTGTCTACATCAGCTAGGCCCTTCTCCCAAGATTCATGGAAAAGTTTGGATCACAGGATAGGATTTTTTTTCAGTGTGAGCATTACATCCCACAGATTTTCTTTAATTTTTGGTACTTAGAGATTCAGGACGGCAATGGGTGTTTAAGACCATGGACCCTGGGACCAGATGGCCTAGATTTAAATCCTACCTCTAAAACTTGCAAGATGCTTAATCCAAGTGACTTAACCTTTCTGGGCCCTGTGTGGAATAGAGACACTCCAGGGCCTTCTTTGTGGGGATGGTGTAAGGATTAAAGGAATCAAAATACCTAAAGCTCTTAGAGCTGTGCTGGTACTAAGTTCTAGTCAGTTGCTCGCTCCTATGGTTATTGCTTTCATTTGTCTGCTGTTAACGTGCTTGCAGATGACAAAACCCATGTTAATGGAGACCCTGCAGCCAGCACCCTGCCTCCGAGGCCCTGTGTGCATCAGCGTGGCTCTCTGTGAAGCAGACAGGTTCCTGCTAGAAATGCATCCTCCCCGTTTCACCTGATGGCGGTCACCGCCCAACAGCAGTCTTGTGGGGTGGAACACGGGAATTTCTTCCGTTTTGAGTTTTTTCAGTTCTGACCCTCTGGCTTCCTGGTGGTTGGTCCCCTTTCTGAACCTGGGAGTTGCCCTGCCCCCAAATCTGGGGTGTTTTTGTTGAGCACTGGGGGTGGGGTGGCTGGTTGGGAAGGGGGGGCTTGTGCCGATGCGTCAGGACAGCCGACAGGCTCCACGAGGCCACTTTAGTAGCTTTGTGCCCCTTCGAACTCTAACCACAAGCCTCATTAGCCAGCTGGATCAATCCGGAGGCTGATTTTTTTTCCCCCCTGGTAGTAATGAGCCTCTGGGTTCGGGCTGCCTTGGGGGCTTCCTCCTGATGTTCGCTCCCACTCTCTGCCCATCGCCACCCTGTGAGCACTTTTCTTGTCATTTTTGAATGACCCCAGTCCAGCCAGTGTCTCACAGGCATCCTGCACCCAAGGGACCGGACTGCTTTAGCTACTGGCGGAGGAAGGGAGGTGGTGATGCTGCACTCCCAAGAGGATTAAGCACAGGTCTTAAAATAGGAGCTCTTCTATTTTGGCGACTCGGTTGGCAGCTCATCGGGGAATGAAGGCTTCATGTCTGTTTAGCATCATGCACGTCAGCGAGTTGGCGTGATGCTTTAGGCCTCTGCTGGAGGCTCCCGAGGGTGACCATGTGTGTCTGGGTGTGGAAATAGTATGTCAACTGCATCAGCAATGGTGCTTGCTTCCTTTCTCTTCTCCTGGGCTCTGTCGCCTCCCTGAAACCTCCGCTTCGTGAGGATCCAGGGAAGAGAGAATGAGAGGGAGGGAGGGAGGGAAAAGTGAGAGGTAGAGGCTGAAGGAAACAGCCAGGGCCCCTGACACAATAAGGGGACAATGCTGCCAGGCCCCTTAGTGGGAGATAGTGGAAGACACACTATCCCAGTCTACCAAATATCAGGAAACAGAAATGTGGTTCACTGGCTTCCCCAGATCTCCAAGTAGCAGTTCCCAAAGCCACAAGGTATGTCTCTCCTCCCTCATCTTACTGTTCCTTCCTCTCCCCCATCAGGACCTCACCATGGATACAGACCTAACGGCAGCAAACGGCAAGAAAATCAAAGCCCTTGAAATCTTCGCGTACGCCCTGCAATACTTCAAGGAGCAGGCGCTGAAGGTAGGACACGTGCCAGGGCCCTGGGGCAGGGGGAGGCGCACCTGCCAGCCAGGCGAGCAGGCACGGCCTCCAGGGACGAAGCGTAGGACTTACATTCAGAAAGCAGGATGCACCCTCATGCCCTGCTGGCAGGAATGGAAAGTGGGGCAGCCGCCGTGGAAAAGTCTGAGAGTTCCTCAAAGGTTAAACACAGGGCTACCACATGACCCAGTGATTCCACTCCTCAGCATATATCCAAGAGAGATGAAAACGCATATTCACATGAAAACCCGTCTATGAGCGTCTACAGCAGCAGTATTTGTAATAACTAAAAAGGGGAAACAACATGAACGTCCATCAATGGATGGATGGGTTACTAAGTGAGTCTATCCCTACAAGGAGATATTAGTCAGCCATAGAAAGGAGTGACTCACGGACGCCTGCAACCACATGGAGAAACCTTGAAAACGTTACTCTGAGTGAAAGAAGCCAGCCAATCCTGTGTGATTCCATTGTAAGAAATGTCCACAGTAGGTGAATCCCCAGAGAGAGGAGGTGGATTGGCAGGTGTCCGGGGCTGGGGGAGGGCACAGGAGTGACTGCTTATAGGAATGGGGCTTCTCTTTGGGGTGACGGAATTAGAGAGTGTGGTGGTTGCACAACCTTGTGAATATACTAAAACCACTGAATTGTATGCTTGAAAAAGGAGAATTTTATGAGATGTGAATTACATCTCAGTAAAAAAGATAGGCAGAAGACATGTGCGGCAGCTGTGGGGTCTCAGGTGAGGTGCTTAATTTCTCTGATACCCACATTCCTAACCAGAAGAGTGGGGCAGGTCGTGTACCTTGTGGGTTGTTTTACCAGACATGAGGCACCTCCCTCAGAGCTGGGCACAGTAAACTCCTGGCAAATGGTTGCTGTCATCCCTTCTCCCTGTCCCCCCAGGCCCCAGGGGAGAAGCTGGTGCCTGAGTGAGCCGCTTGGATGACTGTTGCAAAGTTTGGGCAGAGATGGCCCTGGATGGGGAAGAATTGGCTAATTTCTAAGTGGAATACAGCTGTCCACTTGGTGTCTCTGTCCATGGGCATGGTGATGAGTGGGTGTGAGTCAGATGCATAAAGAACCTTGTGTACTGAGCTTTATCCAAAAAGAATTGGGAACTTTAGAAGTATTTGGTATTATATGATCACTACAAGAAATTTAGTGAACTCTAGAAATAGAATAGAGTTCTAGAAATAGGGCCTGAGGGAAACAAAGACATGAGAATGTAATACTGCTTTCATCCATTCAAGCACCTCCTCCTCCTCCTCCTTCTCCTTCTTCTTCTTCTTCCTATTCCTCTTCTTCTCCTCCTCCTTCTTCTTTTTGGAGTACTTTTTGTGTGCCAGATAGTTCTGGCAGCATTGAAATCAACAGAGTGTGAAGGAGTATGTAGTCAACAGATTGGTGTTGTGAGGGGGTCATTGTGGGTGTTTGGTGTTTGGTGAAGACAGAGGTTCTGCCCAATGGGCTGCAGTAGGGAAGGCTCCCTGGTGGAGGTGCATCAGGGGCCTCTCACTGGCAGCAGCTGGAAGGGTGGGTGTTTTGAGCTGGTAGAATGGCACAAGATGATTGCAGGGGAAAGGAAACACAGCAGACAGCTCTGGAAAGCGGGCAGTTTGGGTTGAGAGAAGGGCAGGGCTGTGGGATCGAGTGGGAACAGCAAGCTTGGGTCGAGATCTTGCAAAGCCTCAAATGCCAAGCTAATGAACTCCTTGGGTCACGGGGAGCCATCCAAGGATTTCTAATAGGGGAATGCCATGGCCACAGAGATAACATTTGAGGGAGGGAGACCACAGCATCCCCAGGGCCTGCAGGGTGGAGGAAAGCCCTATGGAAACAGTGGACTCAGATCCTGAAGCAGGTGTTTCTGAGGGCTCTGAGACTCGGAGAGTGGGGGGTCACTTGGGGAACGTGAAAACCAAGAAGAAAGAGGGGGCCAGGGCGGAGGGAAGAAGTAGATTCTGGGAAGTAATTCTTCCACCGGCGGTGGGGGACGGAGAGGGGAGAGGACAGAAGGAAGGAGTAGGAGGGAGACGGAGTGTAAAGGAGAGCACATGATTCTAGGCGGCAACAAAGCGGACTAGGAGGCACAGAGATGTGGACCTCTGTCAGCCCGAAGAGCAGGGATCTCAGAGGCATGGGCTCAGCACCTGGTAGCCCAGACAGCCAATGAAGGACTGTCTGCCTATCGTGTCTGTAGCCATCTGGAGAAAGGTGAAGGAGCAGAGGGAGGCCCATGACTGCAGGGCCTTTGGATTAGGAGGAAGAGGCATGGGGATCTGGGGAAAATTTAGGACCTGAGAAAGTCCATGACATTGGCTTGTGTTTCAGGTTGGTCAAGGGGAAAAGAGTGAACAGCCCATCTCAGAAGGGGAGGGGAGAGATGGAGGGGGGCAGAGGGCCAACAGGGAGTGTAGGAGGGTGTGTGGTTTCGAACATGTCAGCTCAGCCAAGAGCTTTGGGAACCTGGTTGCACATTCTCCCAGCAGGGAGCATGCTATAAAGAAATTCCATGAAGAAAAGCTTTCTGAGGAGATTTATGAGCACCGGGCCCTCCACGAGAGGGCTGGCTGGTATTGGAAGGACAGATGGGTTCAGAGGAGGGGACTGTTGCACGTTGGACCAGGATAAGCAAAATAGAGTATCTACTAAAGTATCGTATCTCAGGAATCACAGGCAGGAAGCAGGCTCATCGTTCATGAAGGAAAGCAAGTGAAAAGGGCCTGACATACTGAGATGTTTAATTAATGGCAGGGTCCTTTACCTTCTAAGCTGTACTCTATCCACTGGTGAACAAACAGCTTTAAACAACCTTCCCTACGGTCAGGGAAGCCCATCATTCACCTTTTGAGCCTTTTCCTGTTTAAAGAGTTTAAAATAGCCTGGATGGTGCTCGGCGGCCTGCTTAGAACACTTCCCAACACACATCACTACTTGCCTGCCTTTAAAGCCCAATGCAGACCTGCAAGGAAATAAAACATGATAAAAACAAAACAAAACAAACCCCGCTGTTTCACGCAGAGGTGTTTTTAAAAACATGTTTAAAAAAAAAGTATACTAGACGTACTTAACACTGCTGAGCTATGTGCTTTAAAAAGGTTCATGTGGTAGATTTTACATTATGGGTTATTGTCACAATTAGAAATAAAAAAAAATTTTTAAAGGGCAAAAAAAAGGGTTTACGGACTGATCACATAGGAAGTTAATTCCGTGACATGGTAGCTCCGTCCCAAGGTATCTACTGAAACAAGAGAGGAAATGAGATACCTATCAGAAGAAACAGATTGCCAGCCTGTTAATCTTCTGAAACCTGTCCCCAGAACTGACTCCGATGCAGATGCGCGTTGGTGCATGTTTAGGTTTGATTTCAGATTTGTCTGGTGAATGTGGCAACTGGAGGGGAAGGGCAGGAAGAAGCAAGCTTTATCAGAGGTCTTCTCTGGGCGAGCTTCTTCCAGGTGTTCTCAATCTCCCCAGAAACACAGAGCATTACTGTTATTCTCCCCATTTTACAGATGGGAATACTGAGTCTGAGAACTATTCTAGAGACGTATTTTGTCTGCATGGACTTGGTGTGAACCTCTGATGCTTCTGCCAATCCCTTTTATCTGTGTGGTTCCTGCTGATGTGGTTTTAATCTTAACCAAAAGCTAAGGGCAGCATAGTTCTTGCTTGGGTCATGTTCATATCCCTCCCGTCCTGCTAGGAGAACTGCCCTGAGGTGCTGACCTTGCCATAAGGCAGAGGACAGTGACAACTCTGACAACAACTGCCACCAGGTGTTAAGCAGTGCTATGGGGCAGGCCCTGTTCTAGATATGAACCACATGTAACAACTTAGTTAAGACCTTGGCCTTTAGAGTTAAGATATAACTGGGTCTGGGTCCAAATTTTGGCTCTGTCACTTTCCAGATGTGCAGTCATCAGAAGGTACTGCACGTATCTAGGACTCAGGTTCCCATCTGTAGAAAAGACACATAGTTATCATCCCTTCCTAGTGGGATCCTGGAACTAATGGAGATGAGGTATGCAAAGTGCTTAACACAGAGTAAGCTCCCAGTAAATGTAGCTCTCAGAAAATTATCACTCCTCCCAACAACAGTGTGAGCTAGGTATTATTATCCCCATTGTGCAGATGAGGAAACTGAGGCCTGGGAGGCTGTTACTTGCCCTGTCACATGACTCAGAAGTGGCCAAAGGCCTCTGACCTGCCTGCTTCCTGCTTGCAGTCACGTTCAGTGAGTGAAAGGAGCAGAGCTCCCTGCTTGTGGAATAATCAGGAAACAGACCCTTGCTCCCTGACACTAGTAAGTTCAGGAGGCTGTAGAGTAGATGCCCCAAGAGTTCATGGCCAGGAAGCCTGGAATTCTCCGTGAAGCTGTAGGAGGACCAGCTGTTTCCTCTTGACCTGCTGCATTTCCCTTGGCTTTAGGAGCTGAGTGACCAGGCGGGGTCGGAGTTCGAGAACTCTGATGTCAGATGGGTCATCACAGTGCCTGCCATTTGGAAACAGCCCGCCAAGCAGTTCATGAGACAAGCTGCCTATCAGGTGAGTGTGGGGGTGGGGCGGGTGGCGGCCCAGGATGCCCATGGGGGTGACTGTCACCCCACTCAGGTGTCTCCAGCACTCACAGGCCTCCCTGGGAGGCAGTGAGGGGTCTCCCACTGCCCAGGGGACATGAAGCCTTCCTCCTGGGGGAGGAATGGGGGTCAGGTCCATAAGGGTTGGGCTGGGCTCAATTTTCTTTCTGGCATTATACCTTCTACACCGTAAGTTCCCCAGGGCTAGGATTGCAAACTGGGGTACAGAGACATTTTGCCGTGGGTGAATGGACCCTCAGGAAAAAGCTTAGGCAATAAGAATGTTTGAAGAAGAAAGGAATAAAGAGAAAGCCAGTGGCTGTGACCAAGCACAGCAGCTTGGTATAGAGGTTGAAATCTGCATCTGTACAGCTGGGTCATAAGGGAGATAGAATGATCTTCTGCACGTGTCACCTTGTGAGTAACACGGGAGCACAAGGGTCAGGGGGTGGTGAGGCCACCAGACCCGTGTGGTGGCAGACACCTGGATGAGGGCAGTGGCATGGCTGAGGAGTGTGCCAGTCAGCATGGCGCCATGGATAGAACATTCTAGTGCCAGTGGCCAGCCCATTCCTCCTGGGCGTTGGGGGCATCCCTGGTACCATGGACCCTCATGGCCGCCAAGCCTCACACTGTCCGCAGGCCACGTGTGCCATGACGGGGCTTCCACGAGGGTCTGACTCCATGGCAAGAATGGCTGGCCGTGCTGACCTGCCATTCTGACCCCAAGGTCAGAGCTGGCTCCCGCTGTACTTAATCCCTTGGGTTAATGAAAGGCCACCCTGGGGCCTGGGCCCACTCTGTGCAATGAGAGTCAGTTTCCAGAGCCTTCAACCTGAGCTGGGCTGGGGAAAGTCATATATATGTATGACGTAATATATGTTCCCTTGCCCGAAGCCACACCTCCCAGGGGACAGCCACTGCTCCTGGGGGACATGTCTCTGATGTTGAGTTTGTAGCCATAGGTATGAACTTTCCTTTCAAAATACCTACCAATCAACCCTGAGTACCAAATGCAGCAAAATGGCCATGGTTACCTTGGTGTCATGAATTGTACTCACCACTTGGAGCTTTACCCCAGGTGACAGGTAGAGTTCCAGGGAGAGCAATGTCCCTGCTCCACCCCCACCCCCAATCTCCCCACTTCCCCTTCTTCCCTCTGCTGCAGGCTCTCCTCTGCTCTCCCCTTCAGCGTGAGAATCTGGCTCAGTCTACGTAGCTGCCAAAAATAGATTTGTTTTTATAGGGATGAAGGAAGAAGGTGGAAGTTCCAGAAAGAGGCAACTTCTTTAAAAAGGAAGAAACCCAAATGCAGTTTTGCTGTCCACAGAAGCCCTGGGCATCCTGGAGCTTGTCCTCAGTGCCAGCCTTCAGGCAGCATCCAAAGACGGGACGCTGGGACACGGCTGTCTGTGGAGACACAGCCAGCGTTCTGACTTTGCACAGGAAGGAGACTCAGGATTCAGGGCTTTGACTCTTGTTTTCCCACAGGAAAACTGCAGCAACAAACATGTGACCCGGAAAAGGGTCAGTTCTTATTTTAGCCTGAAACAGAAAGAGGTGCAAGGACTGGGAGATTTGTCAGGGCCGTTGGAGCCTCGGGCTCGCTCTTCCTAAGGACTGCCTCTCTGAGAAGTGGGGCCTGGCGGGGAGGCCCCTCGTTCTTGGGTCGAGGAGGAAACCAGGCAGATGGAGGTGTGGTGCCCTCCAGGGTTTGGCAGAATCAAAATGGCACCTCAGAGGGGTGAATGTAACCAGCATTTATGGACGTGGGCACTTTTCTTTGTGAAGCCCAGAGATACTCTGCAGACTGCCCCATCCTTTGGTTGTTGGGTAACTTCTGATGGGTGTGGCGTTTGTGCAGCTTAATTTTTGGCTCTTTGTAATTCTGATTTGATACTTGTGTCGAGTTTAGTCACTGAACGGCTTTCAAGATGGCAGGGGCCATTCAATCATTCTTGGTTTACTCCTTCATTTATTCACTAAACAAACCCATACTGGGGTCGTCTGTGTGCTGGGACATGTAGGTGCTAGATTCATATCCTGTGTACCAAGATGAGGCCCCACTCTCAGGTTGCTCATAGCTGAGTGGCTCATCGCAGCCTTTTGTACTTCAGAGAGAGGGGCAGAGGGAGTTGTGGGGCACAACAGTTTGCCGACTAGTCTATGGTATCTTTTAGCTCGTCTTCTGGAAGAGTCCCCATGACGACATGGAAATGAAGCGTGGCCAGAATTAGTATCTCTTCAATTCTCTCTCCTCATCCTCCATTAATTGTACAGAATAAGAAAAATGTGTACCTCTGATAGTTAATTTTATGTGTAAACTCAACTGGGCCAAGGGGTACTGAGATATTTGGTCAAACATCATCCTGAGTGTTTGCTGTGAGGGTATTTTTGAATGAGATTAACATTTAAATTGACTGACTAAATAAAGAGATTGCCCTCCCTAAGGCGGGTGGGCCTCATGCAATCAGTTGAAGGCCAGACTAGAACAAAACTCCCTAGAGTAAGAGGGGATTCCTACTGCCCACCTGCCTTCAAACTGGAACATTGTTTTTCTCCTCCCTTTGGACTTAGTCTGAAACAGCTCTTCCTGGGTCTTGAGGCTGCTGGCAAGGGAACTATCCCATAAGCTCTCATGGTTCCCCAGCTTGCTGACTGTAGATCTTGGGACTTGTCAGTCTCCATAATGGTGTGAGCCAATCCTTTACAGTAAATCTCTTTCTGTGTTTACATACATCCTACTGGTTCTGTTTCTCTGGAGAATGCTAATACAGAACCTGAGCACAAAACATAGTTCTTGGGTCAGCCAGCTTCTGAGATCTGAGGATGCCCACCATCCCTTGCACCCAGAGTGCTGCCCATCAGCCTGGCTTCAGAAGGAAGAGCTGGAAGGATGAGGTAGGATGGTACTCTGTCAGGGCAGCTAGGAAACTGGTCACATCTCCCCTGCTTGCATGCAGGAAATGGAGTCCCTCCTTCAGGCCTGTTGGCGGCCCTGTGAGCCCAAGTTCACGGCACAGTCAGATAGGGGCTGAGCTTCATTCCTCCACTGGCCTGGTGGAGGGGGAAGAGACCTGGATGCAGAGCAAGAGATGAGGCTCTGGGCAGCATCTCTCATGGAAGAAGCAAGCCTGGAGGGGCTGGTTCTGGGGCCTCCACTCAGAAGTCTGGGATTCAGTGCTGAGGTTGGTGGGGGCTGCAGAGCACTTTATGGATACAGTTTTATCTGTGAAACTCCAAAAACTCCTCTTGTGTCAAATGCTTGTTGAAAAAGTAGGTTCAATCTCTATGTTTTATAATTCATGGCCTCAGGGCCCCGTTAGACCCTCTCAGAGCATTCGCTGAATAGCCCGTAGCAGGAAGAAGAGCTGATCCCTCTTCTGAGGCCTTCAGGAAACATCTAGAATGGGCGACAGTTCCACTGAGTCTTGAGGGATAGTCATTATGGGTAGGAGATAGTCCAGTTGATTTCTAGAGGTGGTTTGCCGGAAACGTGTAACTCTAGTGGGTTCTGGAAACCTGTCAAATAAAAGATAATCCCTCACGGAGGATGATCTCCCCTGACGTGGAGTTAACAGCTGGTACTGCAGTGAAAAATAATCACATCGGGGGGTGGGGGGGACTACGGTGGCTGACACCCAGACCTGGTGCAGCTGTAGCCCCAGGCGGCTGGACGTGCGCCCCGCAGAGCGTCCCCCCGTCTGGCCACCTTCACGGCTGTGCACGCGTCCCTGGACGGCTTCCCTGGCTGACAGCAGGGCTGAGGGGCAGACGAGTCGATATCAGGGCCCACGTCCCCAACCTCCTCGAGTGTGATTTTCTGCTCCTCCCAAGTGGGGCTCGGGACCAGGAAGCAGGGCTCTCAGAGGGGCTATGGTGGTACTCCCGCTGTCCCAGGTTCCTGGAGGACTCAAATGGGATAGTGCATTCTTGGTGCAGACCCTTTCTGTTGGTAGCCTCCCCAGGTCATGTCAGCAATAGGCTCTCATTCGTGTTCTGGAGACAAGGGCCAGGAAATCACAGAATGAAGGCTGCCTGGAGGGATGGCGGGTTCATGCACTCAGCAGCTACCCCCCGAGCACCTGCTATGTGCTGACCTTGGAAAGGGGCATCTTGCAGGAGAGGCTCGGCGCGTCTGCATGATCTGTAGTTGGAGATGGAATAGGCTAAGTGCTTGGCCAGCCGGGGCGCAGGGGAGGGAGAGCTTACGTGGAACAGCGGCTGCAAGGTACCAGCTTCAGAGGCAGAACTAGCCAAAGCAGTGAGTGCTCCCCTGCTCTGGTGGGCCCAGGCCTGATCCCAGGGCTCCTGACAGTTGCCAGGCTGTGGGCTTCTGTTGAGAAGGACTGCAAGTGTTTATGCAGAAAGCCTACCCTTCCAGGCACTGGGTCCTCCTGCCCAGAGATAAAGACATCTGAGTTTTTGAGCATCTGGCAGATGCTTTTGCATTTCCTCTTTTTCTTGGAGTCCATAAGCAGCTCTGGGACCCCTCCTGGGGAGAGGGAACCTGGCAGAGCCCGCTGCCTCTTGCCTCAATCCTTCAGCTCTCCACTATGGCCCTCATGGGAGTTGCTATTGGGACATGGCCCCTCACTCTCTCTGGGGAGCAGGATGGGGGCTGGTTCGAGGAAAGGAGTGTGGTTAGCTTGTCCTGGGCCTCTCACTGAGCTTACCTTCCCCACTCCCCACCCTTGCTGGTTGGAGGTCCTCTGCCCCCCTGCTCCCCATCTGCATCCTCTCCTGGGTACCATGGGGAACCCTCTGTGGAAATGGGTCAAAGTTTTTGCTTCAGGGCTGAGGCCAACCCAGCTGGGGAGGGACAGATGAAAGGCCTCCCCTGAGGGGTGTAGCCATGCTGTTTGGGGCATTTTGGGGCAGCCTGTGTGTCTTTCATGTCTTCAGGATTCGGGAGCATCCCAGGGGGAAGCTGGATTGTGTAAATCACATACCTCAAGTTGTGTAACTGTACTCAATGCTCTTCGCTTCTCTGGAATTCCTGATTTGGCTTTCTATTTAAATACTTCACATCTGTTTTTTTTTTTTTTTAAAGATTTATTTATTTATTTGTTTATTTATTTATTTATTTATTTGAGAGAGAGAGAGAGAGAGAGAGAACGGGAGCTCAGGGGGAGGACCAGAGGGAAGGGGAGAGAGAGAATCTCCAGGAGACTCCCTGCTGAGCACAGAGCCTGACTCGGGGCTCGGTCTCAGGACCTTGAGACCATGACCTGAGCCGAAACCAAGAGTTGAACACAACTGACTGAGCCCCCCCGGCCCCCCGATACTTCATGTCTACCTCAGAGGGGCTGCTCACGGTCTCAGGGAAGGTGTGGAGAGGGATGAAGGCATTGAGTTTTTCTTCTTGTTCCCTCCTGTCCCCCACTGCTGGGTCCAGGCCGGCCGGTGCTCTTCCTGGCCACGTGGAGGGAGACTGCCGGGCCGGTGGACATCCTAGTGGGACACAGGGCAGTAGTGAGCCTTTCCTCCTTCCCAATGGCCCTGGCACGGCCCTGGCGCTCTGCATTCCTCGCCCCTCCTCCTGGGCTATTTTCCCTTCTGAACTTTGGAAAAGCATCTTAAACAGTTTGGCCTGGTTGTTTCTTTGCTGCTAGCTTTTCCTTCTTCCTCACACCATTTTCTGGAAAGCTGGACCTGCTAGCTTCTATTCTAGGAGGCCCTTGACTTTACAAACCCACGAAGGAGGGAAAGTCAGTCTTCGAGAGCGGTCCTTTAGAAGGGGGCTCCTCTTGGTTTTATGTTGGATTTCTTCTGGGATCCTGGGGCTTAAGGTTCAGAGGTTTCAACTTTCCTGGTGACACTTAGGTCTGTAAACCTTGTTCCCTGTCATTGGGCACTGCAGCGTCAGCTGTCTTGGCGCTAAGGATGTCTAAGTGACCCTGTGGGAGGCTGGGGGAGAGGGACTTTTAGTCCCTTGGGTTGGGAGTAGTGGGAAATCTTGTTATGCATCTGGGTCAGTGGCCTGTTGATGGGCATGCAGGCCTTCTGCACCCAGGGACCAAACTGATGGGCATAGATGCTGCCCATGTGTAGTTGGTTAACAGCTGAAGGCACAAAGCAGTAAGGAGGCAGTTTTTCTGTGGATGGTGTAGGTTTTGTAAAGTCAGTCTTCTAGAAGGGGTTCTACCACTTGTGAGGCATCTGGTATCGGCAGGGGGGAGATTTAAGTCACCTGCCTGCCAATGGTTTCTCATTAAGACACGGTTAACTGGTTCATTTGGGGGTACGGTTATTACGGAGAATTGTCTACATGCAATTAGAGGTGGGATACCATCTAGTGCTGTCCTGGATTTACTGGGTAAAGAGATCGTACCTTGAAACCAGCAGAAGGAGGAGCATTAGAGACACCCTGGGAGTTTCGTCCAAGCCGAAAGGCCTGGGTCCCACCCTGGTACCTGAAGTCAACGAGAGCAGGAGAACCAAGAACCAATTAAAGAGCTGGTCTTCGAGGCTTGAGACTGGGTCTGGGCTTGCTCGGCCACATACAGGATGGATACATTTGAGCCTGAGACTGTCCGGGTTTCAGCACTGAGAGTCCATGTCCCAGGAAACCCAGGACCATTGGTCACCCTACCTCTCTGAGCCTTTGTTTCTTTCTGCATAAAGTGAAGGTGTTGTACAAAAGGCCAAGAAGGGCCTTTGCATTTTTAATATTCTAACTGGAACCCTCTCCCTTCCTTGTCCAATAACTGAATCTTCTAAGCCCCTTCCATCTGTGACTCTAGGCTGTGACTCTAGAGAGGTCACTGTACGTACATGTGTGACATTAGGCAGACTGTTCACCCTGATCTACAAGATGAGTCCACTACACCTTATGGGCTTGGTGTAGAACCAGAGTCTCCTCCGAAGTGGGTATGGTGCGAGGGCAGCACCCCGAAGTTCCCTAGGGAATAGCAACAAAGCAAACACAGTGGTGAAGGACACAGCGTGTCTCTGTCCCGTCATGCTGGCGACCAGGAAACCCTCGGGGCTTGAACGGCTTCAGCGAGCAAGCAAGGCCTCACGCTTTAGTTCCTAGGCCACGGGAAGTGGGCAGGGACCTGGTAGAGGCCATGCCAGGCTCAGGTCTCCATGTGCCCTCCAAAGGGTGGTCCCAGAGCCCCTTGGCCGGCTCTTGTAAGGGGCTGTGACTGGAATAGGCCAGATGTCACAGAGCAGAAGCATGTCTGCTATTAAAGGGGTAACGGCTTTGAATAAAGTAACTGTCAGCTGCCTTTTGACCCATATTCTAGAAAGCATGAGACTGTGTGGGATTCCAGGAGAGCTTTCTCCCAGAGCCCCGGAGCCCTCCTTGGTGTGCTGGAGACACGTCAGATTCCCAGACAGCCAAATCCGATGCTCACGTAGCTGAGGTCCAGGGATGGCCCATTTGTTTCCTGGGCCACCAAAGATTGGGGTCTGCCTTTAGATCGTAACCAGAAACAGACCACCTGCCTTCCATCTTCTGACAGTTTTCAGAGTTTGGGGCATTTCCCTCTTCATACTGCTCAGTTCTGGGCCAAGCAAGTCCCAAATGAAAGAGGCCGCAGGGCCCAGAGAGCCTTGCATCTCCCAAAGGCACCCACACATTTTCTTTGGCTCCTCCGCAGTGTTTGGGGACCCGGCCTGGGGCTCAGCTCCCCATCACCACTGAATGTAATCCCTGCAGGGGTCTGTGGAGGGAATTTCCCAGACAGGCAGAGCACAAGTGTCCCTTCCTGGAGGGCGTCAGCGCAAGGCGTGTGTGTCCTCAGAGTGGTCCTGCCTCTGTCTTCCAGGCAGGCCTGGCCTCCCCCGAGACCGCCGAGCAGCTCATCATTGCCTTGGAGCCCGAGGCGGCCTCCATCTACTGCCGGAAGCTGCGGCTGCACCAGATGATCGAGCTGAGCAGCAAGGCCGCGGTCAACGGGTACAGCTCCAGTGACACAGTGGGAGCTGGGTTTGCACAGGGTACCTCCTGCTCTCTCTCTCCCCTCCCTGCTCGCTCCCCTCCCACCCCTGCATGGTTCTTGGCCCTGATTACTGAAAGATCCTTAGCACCGTAATGAAGAATCAAGATGCCCCCAGAGAGGTCAGCTGTAAGCACCTCTGTCCTCGGCCCCTCGACCTGGCCTCCCCAGGGCCCCTCAGAGACTCTGCAGTAGTTACCCCAGGGTTATCACCTGCCCGCCCGTGTGCCTTGGGCTGGGGGAGGGTGCTTCTCTCTAAGTACCTGACAGTGGCCTTGAGAGCAGCTCTTGGCCTTACATTTTACTAGGCTCTTAATTTTTCTTGTTCATTAACTGATTCTTAATCTAATCCCACTTGCCTGTTATTAATTCCTCCATTAAGACTGTTGATTTACTGCTGACTCACTCACTGGGGCCGCTTTGTGTGTGGTTAGCTCATTATGTGTCTTAGCCGTGAACCTGGCAGAGTTGAAAATACAGATGAACGGGGCTGAGTCTTCCTGACCCGGCTGATGCGCATTTAGCTGTGGGACATAGTACTGCCTAGGGGGAGCCAGGATGGGCGTTAAGGAACTTTTCCTCTTCTTTTTTTTTTTTAAGATTTTATTTATTTGACAGAGAGAGACACAGCGAGAGAGGGAACACAAGCAGGGGGAGTGGGAGAGGGAGAAGCAGGCTCCCCGCGGAGCAGGGAGCCCGATGAGGGGCTCGATCCTAGGACTCTGGGATCATGACCTGAGCCGAAGGCAGATGCTTAATGACTGAGCCACCCAGGCGCCCCAGGAACTTTTCCTCTTTAACATTCACCTGTATGCAAGTTGGTCACAGTTTCGGTCCTCAGATCTGTTTTCCCTTCTATCTGGGGCTCTATGAGTGGTGCAGACACCCTAGGTCAGGGTCAGAGCTACCAACGTGAGTGAGCACAGGCACTGATGGGAGTGCTGGGGGTGCTGTTCCCAGAGGAGACCTCGGGGCAGAAAGCCACCCATCCCCGTGCCCACCCCATCCTGGAAGGCCCAGGAGGAGGAGGAGGAGGAGGAGGGAGAACATTAGCGGGAACTACCGCCCCCTGTTCCCCCGACAGCCTGGGTCCAACTTTTCCTGGGTCCCCACACCTGAGGCCTGTGTCTGCACTCTCCCACGGCAAAGGGGCCCTGGCTCCGCCTTCGCACGGCCCTGCGTCCTCTCCTCCAGAATTCTCCTCTTCCTCTTCACCCGGTCACACTGCCCCAGAGGTCGCCACTCTGCATTTTCAACCGGAGACGGAGGAGTCGGTGAACCTCAGCCATAAGGCAGTGGCAGAGAGTTCGCTGGTCTGGTCCCCAGGCTGCCGGGGCTGAGGGCTAGCACCTCACGCCTGACTCACCCGGGCAAATGGAAGCTGTTGCCTTTCAACTTGATTTGCCTTTTTTTGGGCAATGCTTGGCCTCCACCGGAGTATGGCAAGGCTAGCCTTCCTGCTAACTAAATCAAATGTATTAATGTTTTAAATACTCAGAATGACATATTTATTTAAATTATCTTCATCGTTTTCATGGGAAAAGAGACACACGACCGACTGGGCTTCCTGCCTTACGTGCGTGCTCTTACTGGTTCACACACACACACTCAGGTCAGAACTAGCTAATCGTAGTGCAGCTTTTCTTAATACGTCCTAAGTGTAACACTCACATTTGAAGGGGAAACTGTTTTTGAATGCTTGCCTTCCCCGAGAGCTCAGTTTTGGGGTTCCTTTCCTTTAACTTATCCTGTCTGCCTCCACACTGCTCCATGTCTGTGTCCTGTGCCTTGTGGAATTTGCTCTCGTCTTGCGCTCCGAAGGTCTTTTTGGTTTTTGAAATCCTCCCACGGTTGGCCATGACCCCTCAGAGGGGCAGAGAAGCAGGGGTTCTAGCTCAGCCTTCTTTTACAGTTACGGCCTGTCTCCCAGAAGGAGGGGGCGCTGCCTGGGGAGGCCTGGCAGGGCCCTTAACCAGGAGCTCCCTGGTTGGAATTAGGGCCCTGAGCCCCCCGGGCTGTTCTCTGCCCTCTGATGCTCCTCCATGACGGACGCCCAGTGGACACTACTGAGGGGAACGGGGCTGGCCTCTGCCTCCGGCATCACAGGGTTGCTGTCCATATTATTTTGCACCAAAAGGATTTCATGAGATCAGTAAAGGATCCCCTTTTTATAATCTTGGGCTTAATTTGCCTAAAAACATGGTAATTTTTTTTTGAGAGCTCAGAACATGTTTTATTAGTCTGGCTTGATCATTTTTTTATAAATGACATCTAGATTGTTTTAGCAAACCAAATGCCCATTATAAGGTCTGCAATAGAAGTTCATCTGGAGCCAGTGCTGGGAACAGGAGAGAGGCCCTGAGTTTGAGGACCCCTCCCAGGCCTGCAGAAACTCTTTAATCAAGACGGCCTCATCACTGAACGCCAAGGCCCGAAGAATTTAAGAGCTGACGGCTCTTGCTGTTCTAATCCCCAGAGAAGACACTGTTTTGCAAACACGGTGCTCCTTGCTAGAAGAGGGTAGAGGGTCAAGGGTCCTTAAGTGGATGACCAGCAACAGATGGATTTGTAGGGCAATTCAAAGTCAGCAGCACCAGTTTTTAGGAACTAGAAAAATTGGTGGTGGCGGGGGAGGCAAGGTTGTGGGATGGGGCAGCAGAGCAGTGGACAGAACCTTTATCTGTAAAATCAGGCGTTGCTCTAAATTGTTCATTGCAGTGATCATTTGTTGGGTACCGAGTCTCATAGTTGGTGCTTTGCCTTCATTATCACCTCCTGTGTGCTGGGCATCACACTGGGTGCTGAGATAAAATCAGAGAACCAGTCCCTGCTCTGCCTGTGAGGAACTTAGGCCAAGTGTTATTATCCCCATTTTATGGATGTGGAAACTGAGGCCCAGAGGGGTTACGTGATTTGCCCCAATGGGCACCTTGGCTGTGCCCTGCTGATCCCCAGATACCCTCTCGCAGCACCTTTCTCATCTCTTAACGTTCGTGTTCTGCTTTGTCACTGTAAGTTGTTGAATCTCAAAGGCATGAGGGCCTGTGGTCCAAGGGTGGATGTGGAGCTGCAAGACAGAGTCGTGGGAACTGCAAGCCCCTTAACCTCGTCCGACCTGGTTTCCTCCCTCCTCTGAACACAAGGACGATGATCTGTGCCCTGTCTGCCTCCCAGGGCTGCGGGCGGCCTGTGAGGGATGCAGTCGCCCCACACAAAGCCTCACAGCCACTAAGTGGCCTGAGCCACAGCCGCGTTGCTCCCCAGCGTTAGCAGAAAGGCGGCCAGGGCTTCGCGAGGTTCCGAGGGCCCGCCCTGTGGCTGAAGCGCCGCCTTGTGGCTGAAGAGCATACTGGCTTCCCCTGGGTCGGGAAATGGCTCCAGTCCCTTTCATCCGGGATCCAGATTAGGAAAACATCCCCGACATTCCTGGCATCAGACAGATCTGGTTCCTTGAGGTGAAATTGGTGAAATTTAACCAAGTGCACTGCAAGCTTCTTGGCAGACAAGTTCCTCCCCGGGACAGCAAAGCCAGGAATCTGGTGCATTTAGTAACCCCTAAGAAGTGTCACCGGGGGAAGGGCTGCTTCTTCTCCAAGGCGAGTTTTCCAGCAGGGCGCAGGCCAGGCTGCCATGCAATGAAGAGATGGAGGCTGGTGGAACCGGTCTGGCTTTGTGTTTCCCAATGTTGTATTTATGTAATCCTTTTGGTCAAGTGTTGCTAAATGTTCTGTCCCTAAACCTCCTCATGCTGTTGCCTCCACGGACTGCAGATGATCTGCCCACTTGTTCGTGCTTTCTTACCCGTCATTTTCTTTCTGTCGGCCACTAGCTAAGGAGCACATACGGCGTAATCGGCAGAGTCGGACCTTTTTGGTGGAGAATGTCATAGGAGAAATCTGGTCCGAGCTGGAGGAAGGTAGCGTCCTTGAATGTCCTTTGCCCTTGCTGGATTTATTCTATATTGTTGGCAAAAATGCATTCCTGTTGGTTCCTTTGGCACGTGTGGAAAATGTTCAGAATCAGGTGGTTTTTAAAGACCACCCACTCAAGGAGAGCTCTTTCGGAGCTATAACTTTGCATGTTATAAAACCATACAGACTCTTTAGAAGAAAAGTGGGAATTGGAGCTCCCCAGTTCCGGGGTAAGTCTTGTGTTAAACAGCAGGTCATTTTACGGCGCTATAAACCTTGGCAGGAAGTTGTCCCCTTGTACGTGCCAGCGACGCAGCTGAGTGTCACAGGACAGCTTCTGTCTTACAGATCCACTCCTCCGGGTTCTTTACCATCCATGCTAACTGGCACTCCTGGGCAGACATTACTGCATTCTCTTCAGTCACGAATAACTTGGCTGTGCAGCTAATTTGCAAAACCATCGTGCTAATGAGAAGGGTTGATGGGTGTTGTTGGGTATACCAAGTCGTCACCCCCCAGCTTGTTTCACGATGGGGCTGACAAGCGGTCTGTGTAAAAGATGGCTGTCTTTGTCCCAGGTGACAAGTATGTGGTCGTGGACAGTGGCGGGGGCACCGTAGACCTGACCGTCCATCAGATACGGTTACCGGAGGGACACCTGAAAGAACTGTATAAAGCAACAGGTGAGCCCCTGCATGGCTGATTTTCTCATTCCCGAGCCGTTTCTCTCATGTCAGATTTCTCTTGGTACTTCCTTCTCTCGGTTGCTACCAGCACGTGGGATTTTAGGCCCGAGAGGGTTCCTGTGTGGAACTGAGGAGCAGAATGCATTTAAATGTTCTTTAAAACACAAATGACTGTAACTTGGGTTTTGGCATAAAATGAGCCTGTTTTAGATCCTAGACAAGGGAATCTTTTTCTGAAAGTTCTGGAAAGATCTGATTGTCACCTGTGGTTTCATGCTCTGGTTAAGCTTTCTAGGGAGGTTTCAGGCCACCTGGTCTTGGATCAAAGTTGCCAAAGCAAGCGACAGGCTCTCTCCCTCAGTGGGGGTGGGATGATGAGTCATTAACAGATCACGGGGTCTAGGTGGGCCTGCTGATTTTCAGACCCTGTCCTTAGATTTCTTGGGTGGGAATACTATGTTGCTCATACTTAGTTATATGTATCCATTTTATTTAAGATGAAAGTGATTTTGTGGGGTGCCTGGCTGGCTCAGTTGGTAGAGCATGTGACTTTCCATCTTGGGGTTGTGAGTTTGAGCCCCATGTTGGGTGTAGTGATGCCTTAAAAATAAAATCTTTTAAAAATAAAATAAAATGTAATTGAATTTAAACAGCTTGTTGACAGGTGATTCTGTAGGAAAAAGTTTCTCCACCCAGAAGAACCTAAGGGTTTTAAAGCATAAGTAAAAATTTAGAGCTACAATCTGCTAACTGGGTCTAAGTCACTCTACTTGATGTTTCTGAGAAGAACACAGGGTAGGCTGTTTCTCAGAGTTTGGATTCAGTTTCTGGCAATTTCTGACATGGGGGGGTCTCTCCTTTTGTTCTTGACCCAGGTGGACCCTATGGATCCTTAGGAGTAGATTATGAATTTGAAAAACTTCTGTGTAAAATATTCGGAGAGGATTTTATCGAACAATTCAAAATCAAGCGTCCCGCGGCCTGGGTTGACTTAATGATTGCATTTGAGTCTCGTAAAAGGGCAGCAGCCCCGGACCGAACAAACCCACTGAACATCACCCTGCCCTTCTCCTTCATTGACTACTACAAGAAGTTCCGTGGGCACAGCGTGGAGCATGCCTTGAGGAAGAGCAAGTGAGTCGGACTCACCAATGGCTTAGGTCATTCTAGAGGGTGGGTCACGTTGATGGGAAGGAAGAAGAGGGTGTGGACTCTGACTTCCAGTCCTACAGAGAAGCTGTGTGACCTGGGGCAAGTGACTCAACTTCTCTGTTCCTCAGTTTTGCATCTGGAAAATGGAGATGATGTTTCCACTTACCTCAAAGGGTTGTCGTGAGGATGACGTGAATTCCTATGTTAGGCACTTAGCACAATGCCGGGGACCTGGAAAGTACTATTTTTGTGTTAGCTTTTATTATGTACTAATAATTATAAGCTTTGTGAAAGCAGGGAATTTTGTGTGTTTTGTACCAGTATCTACAACAGATTCTGGTACAGACATAGAAGGTGCTCAGTAAATATTTGTTGAATGAATCCCATGGGATTCTGGGTTTCCTGCTAGTCTGAGTCTCTTGGCTGCAGGCAAGTGTTTGTAGTTCAGCTTGTTGCAAAATGAACATTTGGAAGCTGTTTTAAAGCTGAATTACAAAATTAATAGACAAAAATCATAGGTTTCTCAAAGTCTTTTTAGAGTGGAAAATTTCAAACATCTTCTGGGCAAAATGAGCCTCATTATTCAGCTGCAACAACTGTCAGTTCCTGGCCAACCTAAATCCTCACGTAACCTCCCCCAAGCATTTTAAAGCAAATCTGATCCTCATCTAATCCATAAATATGTCAGTATGTATCTTTAAGGGGGATAAATTTAAAATCATAACCCTGACACTGTTATCACGAGCACACTTAAAATGAGTCATTCTTCAATGTCCTCAAATACCCAGTTAACATTAAAATCTCTCCCATTGTCTTACAATTTTTTTTCAGTTTGCATTAATATCCAAAAGATGGCTATACACAGCAATTCTCTGATCTGCCCCTGCCCCTACATCCCACTTAATATATAGGTCCCCCTCTTGTTTTTTTCCTTATGGTTTATTAGATGATAAAGCTGATTGTCCCATAGCGTTTCCTCCAGTCTGGGGTTTTTGCTCATTGCACGCCCATGTAACATGTTCAGCCCCCTGGTATTTTCTTACAAATCGGCAGATTGAGCTGGATGTTTGGTCAGAGTCAAGTTTAAGTTTTTGGCAAGCCCACTACATGGGCGGGGCGGGGGTAATATTTCCCCCTTGCTTCACATCAGGGAGCACATGCTGTTTGCTGGTTGCTTCTTCTGAGATGCTAGCAGCCTTGGAGGGTTGTTGCCTAGGTCCGTTATGCTAAGGAGTGGCCCCTTAGTCTCTCACTCCATCTGCATTTGTTAGCTACATGCTTCTGGAGAGAGAAACTCTTCTCCTCAGTGGTTTGGTTGCCCTGAAGTACAGTTCATATAGGAAAGACAAGACAAATGCTTGGTTCTTTCCTTTCATTTATAAATTTTTTGTTAAGAAATATTGTTGATTTCCTAGCATTCTCCTAAGTGACAAATGCATTTTTTTTTCTTTTGTGGGGACTCAAGGGGAGTATCATTAAGATTTCACAGATATAGGCATATTTGATGTATTTTAAACCATGGCGGTTGTATCCTGATTGAGAGTCAAAATGCCCCATCTTGGCCAGTAGGAGCCTCTTCAAGTTGGCTCCCGAGTCCCATTGATTTGACGTTTTGGTCTGACTTCTGGTTAGAGAAGATGCTCCTGGCTCGTCTTCTATATTCCCTATCCCAGACCTGCAATCAGCCATTTCTCTAAAAAGCTTGGGTTCTGTATAAGGGAAACAAAGTAGATATGATTTTAGCTCTTCTTGCCCTTGGAGCAGGGTCCTGGCCAGACTCTTACCAGGCTCATGTTCTCTCTGTCCACCAGCTCCCCTCCAGAGGTGCTTGCTCCGAGTTGAACCCCAAGTCCTGCTCACACAGTTCTGGGGCTGGTCCACTCTCCTTCTGGAGAGACTGGCCACAGCCAGCCACTGGGTCAATCCACACCATCCCACATTGTCCTTTGGCCAAGGCCACAGAAAGACCGCCTGGTCGGGCAGCCCTGGCAGCATCTAGAATGTGATGCTAGGAAGCAGCTGGTGCATGCTTTGCTTCAGGGACAGAGACACTATTTGCTTGGCCTCTTTGAACTTGAGAATGGGCGGGGTACATGCTGCAGTAAACAGTCCCCGGCATTCCTTTAGTGCCAGAAAGTTTCCAAAGTGTTTTCACAGACGTGGTATGTAACTTCATCTTCACAACAACCCCTGCGAGGGAGGTAAGACAAGTTGTGCTATCCTTGATTTCCAGACAAGAGACTGGGGCTCAGAGAAAACGCAGCCCAACTTGCCCCAAAGTCCCGCAGCCTCTGAGTGGTGGAGGCCACCCTGGAGCCCAGTGATCCTGAATCTCTGTCCAGTGCTCTTTCTGTTCCATGCCATTGCTTTGGACGTTCTATGCCTTTGACAGAGAAAGGGGCATCCTGGTAGGCTTAGGCTCGACACGGTCATGGGACAGGTGCCTGCAGGGCTGAAGGAAACGCACCTGAGCATCCAGGCTTGTAGCCTTATGCAGTAGCACATTGGACAGGTCACATGAGCCTTTAATGGACTCGAATCGGACTATTGTGCCATTAAAAAATGTCATTCAAACGAGAAAGGTCCCTTTAATTCTTTCCCTATATTTTGCACTAGACTTTGGCTTCCACCATCCCAAGGGCCATAGCCCAAAGCAAAGAGAAACAGAAGAGGCTGTGTCTTAGCTTTTGAGCACCTAAGGGTCCAGGTTCTGGCAGTTGAGGATATTTCCAAGGACTTTTGAACCCTTCTGCCCACTCCAGTGTGACAGCTCTTCTGACAGGGCCCATCTCTGTGCACATAGACTGGGTACCGTTCACACACTCAGTGCTTATTTCTCTCTGTGCCACACCCCCCACAGCGTGGATTTCGTGAAGTGGTCCTCACAAGGGATGCTGAGGATGAGTCCAGATGCCATGAATGCTCTTTTTAAGCCAACCATTGACAGCATCATTGAGCATCTCCGTAAGTATCAGCCAGGGCTCGGCCACTCAGTAGGGCAGAGCCAGGAATGGGGACTGAATTTTCTGGTATCACTAGGTAGTGTGTGTGAAGTCAGGTTGGCAGGGGGTCTGGGGCTGGGAGCCACAGGTCGGGGCCTGGGCAGGAGCAGACAGGGCCTGGGCATGTATGGGGGAGCTTTCTGGGCATGGGCTCTCCAGATCCTTGCCTTCAGGTACTATAAAGCAGCCCAGAGCCTGTCTTCACCTGGGCCTTGAGTTTGACTTCCAAAGTCAGGATGCTGGGAGCTCTGCAGTAATATTCTCCTGGAGTGACAGGGCCTAGGGAATGTATAGTCTTTGCTTCATCAGGATGCACTAGGAGCCATAACCTCTGCTGTGGAGGAGGGACAGTTACGTGGACCAAAGAAAGGTCTCCTGCGAGGGGGCAAACAGAATCCGGCCATGAGGTTACTATGCTACCTCAGTGGCCCTCACTGGGGACACGCGGTAGACTCACTGGGGACCTTTCTCAGTATCCCGGCCCCCCATCCACTTCCCACTCCACACCTACCAAATCAGAACCCCTTTGAAAACCACAGGACAGTTTTTATTTTTTATTTATTTATTTATTTTATTAAAAAAAATTTTTTTTTTAAAGATTTTATTTATTTATTTGAGACAGAGAGAATGAGAGACAGAGAGCAGGAGAGGGAGGAGGGTCGGAGGGAGAAGCAGACTCCCTGCCGAGCAGGGAGCCCGATGCGGGACTCTATCCAGGGACTCCGGGATCATGACCTGAGCCGAAGGCAGTCGCTTAACCGACTGAGCCACCCAGGTGCCCCACAGGACAGTTTTTAGAACAGCCTGCCTTGACTGACTTAACAGGTCCACAGGCTTGGAGAACGTTAGCAGTCTTCCTTTATGCCTAACAAATTACTACTTAGAACCATCACCATCTAGCCGTAAAAATGAGAGTCTACTTACCAGCAGCTTTGGTTTTTATTCCTGAGCATACTGGTGTGCAAACCCCTTTCTTTTAAAGACCAGCTCTACGAAAATTCTGCCCAACCAGCTCAGCCATGTCTGTTCCCCACGTCTTCAAGGCCACCGGTCCCCCTTGGCGGCTGGCTTTTGGTGACAGAACGCTGTCCCTTCCTCTTTGTTTTCAGGGGACCTGTTTCAGAAGCCTGAAGTGTCCACTGTCAAGTTCCTCTTCCTGGTGGGAGGCTTTGCGGAGGCGCCCCTCCTGCAGCAAGCGGTCCAGGCTGCCTTCGGCGACAAGTGCCGCATCATCATCCCCCAGGACGTGGGCCTCACCATCCTCAAGGGCGCCGTCCTCTTCGGCCTGGACCCCGCGGTCATCAAGGTGCGCCGGTCGCCGCTCACATATGGGGTGGGCGTGCTGAACCGCTATGTGGAGGGCAAGCACCCACCCGAGAAGCTGCTGGTGAAGGACGGTACTCGCTGGTGCACCGATGTCTTTGATAAGTTCATCTCCGCCGACCAGTCGGTGGCCCTGGGGGAGCTGGTCAAGCGTAGCTACACCCCGGCCAAGCCTTCCCAGCTGGTCATCGTCATCAACATCTACAGCTGCGAGCACGACGACGTGAGCTTCATCACCGACCCGGGGGTGAAGAAGTGCGGCACGCTCCGCCTGGATCTCACAGGGACCAGCAGCACAGCCGTGCCCGCCCGGAGGGAGATCCAGACCCTCATGCAGTTCGGGGACACAGAGATCAAGGCCACGGCCATCGACATAGCCACCTCGAAGAGCGTCAAGGTTGGGATTGACTTCTTAAATTACTAACAGACCCGCCCCGCCGCCTGCGAACCCCGCCCCCACCCCTGGACTCTGTTCCCCTGCATCTGCTGACCTCAACCCTGACTCTTCTTTCTCTGTCCTTGACCTTCAGCATCGCCCACCTGAATTTCAGCAGGGAAGATGGGAACGACTAGGGCTAGAAACAGGGATTTTTGAGGACACACAGGAATCAGAAAAAACTGTCGGAGGTTTGGGAATAAGAAATCTGAGGATCCTGGAAGAGCAGCTAGTTTTCATAGGTGCCCAGTGGTGAGACAGCCACCCGACAAGGGAGTCAGTCTGTTTCTGCAGCGGCGATTCAGCTTGCTTTGAACGGATCTCTGTTAGGATGCCCTGATCTATTTGAGACTTTTCTTTTTACGTTTTTTTGGATGGCAGTCAATATAAAATGCTGTCCATCTGCAGTTAATTTCTTTTCATCATCATGTGATTAAAAGCGGTGATTCAGTGGGAGCTGGGAGCATGTGCAGCTGGTGGGAGAGGCCTGCCCACGCTGGGCACTATTTTAGGTTCTCATAATTTCAATTCTGAATAGCTTCAGTGAGGAGTAACTATCGCCTGAGCTAATCTACTAGGATTCGAGTGAGTGGGAGAGCTGATGCCCTCACTTTTCAGCAGGTGAAAGCTGGCTTCGAGCGAAGTGGGTGGTTTAGGCGCTGCTGACTTATCCCAAATCATACGCTGGGACATCATTCCCCGGATGCCAGATCCTGATTTCTGAATTCATAAAATAACTCAAGTTAACCTTAGTAGGCTTCTGTGTGAGGAAATGGGCTTGCAGTTTGCCTTGTTCACATCACCAAGCCCGGGAATCTGGAACAGCCCCTCACCTTGACAAGCGTCCCTATTATAAATTAACTCCCTTCTCCCCCTCATCTCCCAAAGAGTTTTGGCCCCGCATTCCCACATTTCAAAAAGAATACATTGGTGATACGTGGGTAGAGAATCTGTACTATGAAATGTTTCGCTAAAATCTTCAGTTTTTTAGGCGTATCTAAAAGGAATTCATAGATTTGTACTTGATGAATTCAGCCAGGTCGGTTCAAAGCTGATCTGTGGATCCCCTTGTGAGAACTGCCTGGGTGCCTCTTAAAAGCAGGTTTCTGGATCCTGTTCCTTTTACAAATTGAATTTGGGTCTTGGTGGGGGAGGAGGGGACCAGCATTTGCATTTTCAGTAGACACCACGGGGGACTCTGGTTCCATGGGAATCTGAGAACTCCTAACTTGAGGTTTTGTTGGAAGCTGAAGCACACACCAGCGCCTGCAGGCTCCCCCTTGGGGAGAGGGATTTTCAAGTGAAGAACCGGGGTCCCACACTCTGCCCTTTGTGAGTGGGGCTGGGGCTCCACCAGGCTTGGGGGTGGCGCTTTTAGCCCTCACAGGAATAGCCTGCAAAGGAGGAAGGTCGGAAGAAAGGGACCCTAAGAACAGATGAGGAACCAACTGGTGTCTCTGCTGGAACTCATTCCTATTTGAAATCCTTGGAGGCATGCATAATAAACGAAGGGAGGATGAGCTAAGGGACTCACTTCAAGGCAAGCTGGATTCACAAACCCATTACCATAGCCAATATGCAGATTCGAAATAGCATTTCCAGTTTCATTTGAACATGTCTTTCCACACCGCCTGCTGCAGAATTCCCTGCTAGAATGTGAAACACGAACAAACCACTGACCTAGAGAATGCTAGTCATGTAACTTAACTTCGTAGCAGGATTGCGCATCCAGGCACAGAGGTGTGTTTGCTGGGGTTCTCTTGCTGCCTGCTCTGCTTCAAAAGCTAAGTGTTCTGGGTCTTTCTTTGGTGTTGCCAGCCATACTCTGCAAATAAGACTTCTCAATTTAGTTATAAGTAATATAATTTTATGTACATACAGTATTAGAATATTGTACAGAATCTTTATTTCTACAATGTGCTTTGTTAAAAAAAAAAAAAACAAAAGGAAAATGCTCTTTGAATTTTGTTGATGACATTGCTGCCTTTAATTTCCCATGGCTTCATTTTTTAATTGCGCTTACTTATCCATTTGTACCCGATACTAAGCTTATGGACTATGTATGCGAGACTGAGCAAGAGTCAGAGGTGCGGAGGCTCCGAATACTCTGGAAAAAAAAAAAGGGACAACAGCTGGATCAACAGCTTCGTCAGACCTTGCTTCACTCACATCCTTCCCAGAAGCTCACAGTTTACATTGAAAGGAGCATAATCATGTATCGATTCTCCTGTCCAGTCTTTGAGAGCTGAACATTCTGGTTCTGTACGCCACCTGACTGTGCAGGATGACCTACAAAAACTCTCTGCGTCCCTGCAGGGTTGTCAGCTTCTTGTGGGGCAGAGTTGGGTCACTCTAATGGCGAGATGTGGTCCCCATGTGCCGTGTTGTCTGCACAAGAGGGTTCCAGGAAGGAATCAAGTGGGGCACAAATCCAGCTGTTCCACTCGATTAAGTGTAAGTGTGAGTAATTTAGTGAAGTCTTTTTTTTTTTTTTTTTTTTGGCTAATGTAAGACCTTTCCCACCTTGCACTGAGGCTGTCTCCTTGTCTGATTTCTCTTTAGCGAGTTGGTTGAATTCTGCGCTGTTGGCAAGCAGGTGATGGAGAGGGGTGATAACTTTACCGGACTTTCTTCTGGCCCCAGAAATGCAGCCCCAATAGTCGAGCTTCTTAAAGGGAAGCCCCCAATCCATCCCTCCTCTCCCTCCTGCCCCCGGAAATACTGTAGAATGAGAACACTGGAAGATACACGTGGACACATTTTCTAATCTTAGAAAGTTTCTAAAAGGCCTGTTCTCTTGACCATTACTCAGCTGTCCCTGGAGTATTATCTGATGTTCATGTTTTGGAAGCAGACCTGTCAAAGGATCGCCTTTCTAACTGCCCTCTCTCTACACAGCAGGCATTAGTAAATGCTGAATGACAGACAAGTCACAGACAGACAAGATAGGAGAGAGAAGGAGACATACAGGCACTCACGCAGAGTTGAAGATTGAGTCCAGATTGAGTCTGGATTATGATTGAGTCCAGATTGCAGAGCCTGCCCGCCCCCTAGGATGTTATTTAGATCAAGTTTAGCTTTTAGAGTCTAGGTCTGGTTAATTGCCAGGGTGGCAAAGAATCGCATGCGCCAATATAAACAGGTCCAAATGCATTATTAGTCGAAGATCAAATTTCACACTGTAGAGTTGAAGTAGCTGTGAGTAAGCTGCATATTTATGCTGGGAAATGACTAAGTGGATGACTCGTATAAAAGTTGTTGTCCGTTACGTCACACCTCTCATCTGCTTGGAACATGGAACTTTATTCTAAAATATCAGCCACTGGGGTCTTGTTCACTACAAGATAAATTCACACTCCACAGAACTTCACAGCTGTTCACAACTCTGCAAACTTCACAGCTGTTCACAACTCTGCAAACTCTGTCTTCACAGACGTCTAATAAAGCAAAAACTCTGGATCTCGTGTGGCCCCAATTTTTTTTTTTGCACTATGATTTTGTGAATGGAATTATAGATACATCATTGCTGACTTCCCCCTCTGCCCCATCTCACTCAGATGGAGATTGAGTTTCAGGTCTTTTCTCAAGTGTTAAAAGCTTTTTAAAAGTAACTTTAGTTCCAACAAGACTGGCTCCTTTGTTTGCTGGGAACTAAGGCTCCATCCATGTTCCTGAGCCCCTTTTTCCTCCAAGCTACAGAAAGTGGTCTAGGCAGACAGAAGGCAGATGAGCCTGGGTGGGGGCAGACAACTGCACCAGACCCAGATGCAGGTGGTTGAAGACAACGCGGAAGGGCCGAGGCCTGGTGCCTAGCCCTCCCATCCTAGCAGGCATGGCCCGCTGGCTGCTTCATCTTGAGTTTATTCCAGCCTCTATGTCTGGGTCACCCTCCAGAGCTGGCTTTAGAAGCTTCCAGAGAGTCTGTAGTGGAGTCCTAAGGACACTGAAGGGGACTCAAAGGGGTTCTTCCTAAGTGGGCAGCTTCACCAGTCTTCATCTGAATTTCAGCTCCCTGGAAGTAGAGAGGCAGGTAAGGCTGGGAGAGGCAGTGACACAAACAAATCTGTGGGAAAGTAGTGCCCTGGGGTGATCAGGTTTCAGTTGTTTGGAGTACAGGGCCCCACTGGGACTAGCTGTCTGGAAAGGCCCTCATTCCTGCTGTCCCGGTCACTCAGTGGGCATCCTGGTTTCAATCCAGGGAGAGGAAGCCTCAGGTCCCCTGTAGCTCCCATCAAATGAGGATGATTAGAAAATGGTCTGGCTCCACTTCCCTGGCACCCCCCTCTTCATTTTGGCTCATTGGCCCCTTTCCATCCCCCTCCCTGTCCCCACCATCTGAAGACAGAGGACTGGGGGGGGGGCAGGGGTGTGAAGGGAAGTCACCACCCACACGGGCCTCTCCTTCCCTCCCGGGCTGCTTGCCGCCCCCCTGCCAGCCCCTCACACCGCCCTGAATCCGGGAGGAAGGCCGGTTGCCAACCCTCTTACCTCCCCTCCCCCCGCCCCAGGCCGCCCCAGGGTCGACAGCAGAAAAGGCGACTTTGACCTAGATCCTCTCGCGTAGGGCTCCCCCCAGTTCCCAAACCCAGAGGGCCCAAGTGGGGGGAGACCATGTACGGAGAACAGCTTCAGAGGCCTAGTATTGGTTGGGCAAACCCCTGCACTTCACGCCTGGGGCTGACGCTGAGCGGGCAGCAAGGGGAAGCGCCCCCACATGGACTAGGGTTGCCCCAAGCCCCCTGGCCCTTGGGGGGGCGGGCTCCGGTCCAGTGCGGGCGGGGGAGCGAGGGGGAGGGGCAGCGGGGCGGGTCCGGGCCCCTCCCCTCCCCTCCCCCCGGGGCGGGGTGAGCGCACAAAGGCCAGGAGCGCGGGCGGAGGCCGGGAGACCTGGAGGGCTGGAGGCCGGGCTGGCAGAGGTCCTGGCCGGCGGGCCCAGGTGAGGACGCGGGAGTGCGGCTGCCCCGGGACAGGAGGCGGGGGGGGGGGGGGGGGGGCTGGGGTGGAGCTTACCGACCCCTCCGGGCCCCCACCCCCAGCACACGTCCTCTCCACGCTCCTCCCCTCGGATTTCACCTCCTCCAGGCCGCTGCCCAGGCTGCCACCCACCCTCACCGGACTGAGCCCCCTCCCCAGGGCCACGCCTTTGGATAACATAATGCTGCCCTCAGAATTAGATGTCGTCCGTCCGTTCATACCTCCTTGGCTGGGAGAACCCTTAAGCAAGTTAGCCTCTCCGTGCCTTCTTTTTCTCCTCTATAAACGGGGGACTCAAACGGGAACTGACCCTTAGGGCACGGAGGATGGAACAGGAGTGCGGGTCCGCGTCAGCTGCGCCGGAGCGAGCGCTCTGTGTCTGAGCGTGTTTATAGTTCCCAGCACTGCGGACTGAACGTGGACCGTGGCCCTCCCCACCACCCCTGAGACCACCGGTCGTGGCCCCCAAGGCCTCACTTTTGAGAGATGAACTGGCTTGGCAGCAGCATCAACAGATGCCCAGATGCAGGACCTGTCCCTTTGGGGGGGACCGGAAGCCATCCTGGAAGGGGGACGGGTTCTGGCTGGGGATGCAGCAGCCACATAAACCCGATGTCAGGTGATCCACCCCCCCCCCCCCACCCTCTGCTCACCCATCTTGGACTCCATGCCGACCTCTGGGGACTTCTGAGCCCTTCCAGCCAGAACTATTCTAATTCTTCTTTGTGGGGCTGCCCTCTGTCTTGTAGGATGTTTAGCAGCATCCTTGGCCTCTAACTCATTAGATAGCACCCCATCCCCTTGTCATAACAACCAAAAATGTCTCCAGACACTGCCCGTTGTCCTGACAGTGGTGGAGGTGGGGGTGTGTGTGTGGGGGGGGGCAGGAGACATCCCCAGTGCGACCTGTTCCCCCTGGAGAAAGAAAGGCTCTGGGGGTGGGAGTGCTTCATCTCTTCCTTCTTCTGAGGGTCAGGGGCTTCACAGGGGGGCTTCTGGGTCCCGCTCGTCTTTACATTCCTAACCTCATCATAGTTGCTGGCCTCTGTGTGTACAGTTCATGACGGTGGGCAGGCTGGCTCGCTGGCTGGAAGGCTGGGTGGGTGGAGGAGGTCCCAGGAGGGGAGACGCTCGTGGACGGGGATCTGCACACCTGTATCTAAGTTCGTGTAAAAGGTGAACGCCCCTTGTTTTTATAACTGACGCCAACAGTGTCTTCCGGTTCTGCGTGAAGGTGGAGGTGCTCCTCTCTGTCCCAGCCCCCTGCTGGGGTCATTCTACTCCCAAGGGCTCCAGCACACACACAGTGAGTTTTGAGGCAGGGACATTGGATGAGATCGTTTCATTCCCTCTTCCCTTCGTTAACAGCGAGCGAAATCATGGAGTCTTCCGAGACCTTCATGAGACATCTGCCCATCACACCAGGCTACAGTGGTAAGTGGTGGTGTGCCCTGGGGATGTGCCTGGTCCTGGTCACCGTCCCTGTCTTTCTGACTGGTTGGGCATTATGGGCACTTTAGCTTTTTAATACACTTGTTAAAGCCTCCCTTGCTGAAGATGGCTGATAACTGAGTTCTGACGAGTGGAGAGATAGAACTTAGGCCAGATCTTGCAGGACATGGCCTGGTATGCAGGAAGCACTTAATATGTATTCAGGGTTTCGGGGCCAAGATAAGGGATAGACACAATGAATAAGCCGAGGCCCTGTCCTTTTTCCCAAGTTGAGCTTTCTCAAGTCTTGCACGAGGGCTGTTCTTAGGGTCCCATTCCTTCCTGGGTCCCCTAGAGGGAGAGTGATCAAGTGCCCCGGTTTGTCTGGAAAGTCCTCAGTCCCAGGAAACCCCTAAGTCCGTGGCAAACAGTTGGCCACCCTACCTAAAGATTCTCCTCCTCGGACTTTTGGGCTACTGAGAACTTATTAAGTCACATCTCTGTGACAAACCAGGTGGTCCTCATGGGCCCTCAGCTCTCACATAAGGTATTCTTAGGAGAGGAGAGGCACGGGGACTATTCCAAGGTCGCCCAGCCTCACCCCTGGTCCTACTGGTTAGTTAAGAGAACAAGCTTTGAGTTGTTACCAAACCGAGGTTTCAGTCCCTGCTCGGCCTCGATGTATGTGATTGTAAGAGCTGCTTACTTTCTGTGGTAAGTAAAAATGTCTATTAAATGGGCGTATTAGTTTCTTAGGGCTGCTCTTTAAAACAACAGATGTTTATTCTCTCACAGTTCTGGAGGCAAGCAGTCTGAAACCCAGGTGTTGCTAGGGCCATGCTCTCTCCGAAGGCTCTAGAGGAGGGTCCTTCCTTGCCTCTTCCAGTTTCTCGTGGCCTCAGCTGTTCCGTGGCTTTGTGGCCCACATGGCTCCACTCTCTGCCCCTGTCTTCACATGGCTCTTCATGCGGCCTTCTGCCCTGCACCTCTGTGTCTCTTTCTCAGATCGCCCTCTCCCTTCTCTTATAACGGAGTGCTTTCAACAAGTGTCCTAAAAATCAAAAGTGCCTGTCCTGGCCCAGCCAGCCGGCCAGATGTAGACAGTGGACCAAGGCAGAGACGGTTGGATTTAGGGCCCATCCCCAGTCAAGGATAATCTCATTCCCAGATCCTTAATGACGTGTGCAAAGACCCTATTTCCGGGTAAGGTCACATTCATGGGACCCAGGGGTTTGGACTTGGACATATCTATTCGAGAGACACAACTTTAACCCTCTCCACGGGATAATGATAGATTTCTCCTAAGATCGTCCTGGCCCTTAGTAAGACTTCTCGAAGGTAGCTTGAATTCCTCTGTGTGTGTGCATATATACAATTACATAAAATTTTTCCAGGCCCCAGTAGGTCCTGGTGGCAGGACCCTTTGGTTTCTACGATCACCCCTCGCAACACGAGGGTATCTTTTAATTGCCCCAGGGTTGAGGAGCCTGGCTGGTGGGGGGAGGACTTCGAGAATAGTCGAGTAATTAGATTCTTCGAGAGGTGGCTGCTTGTAGGGTGTGGGAGGCAGGGTCGTTGCTTTTTGACTCTGAAGTCAGGTTTTCTTTAGGGACACAGGCACAATGTTGGGCTTCAGTAATGAGCGAGGGGTATTTATTTATTTAGCCCTTGAAAACCAAGTTCTTAACCAATTTTTCTTCATTTTGTTCTTTCAAAAAATAGTTTATTGTGACCATAGTGTAGGCCCTGGGATTCAGCCTCCAGTTTAAATAAATACTTGTGTTTTACCCATACTAATTGTAATGATTATATGTTATTTTGTGGGAAATGGTAAAAAATTGTTCTAGGGGGTCGGCCCCAGAGATAATGAATTTACCTTTTTTTGTGTAATAGGTCTCAGCTTTTAATAAGCCCGCAATTTCCCGATAGTCCAACAAAAAGAGATCCCAAATTGCATTTGGGAAGTGTCAAGGAAAATAAGCTTTCTCTCTAAAAAGATGAATAATTTCAATTACTCCTCAGACTATCATTTTGGCCCATTAAATGCTTTCCCCATTTGCTGTTCAGACTGACATCAGGGGCTTTGCTATCAAAGAATATTACTGTCATCGTCTTTGTTGAAATGGGCCTTCCCTCCCCAGCTCCAAGGTCATTTTCTTTTTGTGGCCTTGGGAGGGCCCAGTGCAGCGCAAACAGCAGCCCTGCTTGAATTAATGGCCTTTGGGAAAACGCAGTGTTGTCGGCCAAGGAAGAAATGCCAACGCGTGGGCTGAGATTCTCGGGAGCTTCTGGAGGTTCCGACAGCCTCGCTGAAGGCTGCAATTTGTTGGCTCTTGCAGGTTTCGTGCCCTACCTTAGCTGCCAGCAAGCCACCAGTAAGGACAACATGGCCCACTGTCTGAAGATCTTCCAGGAGAGCACACAGCACTATAAAAACCAGATGGAGGAATTTCGCTGCTCGACGGCCACTGCCCGGAGGCTGAAGCCCGTCTGCTCCGAGCAGACCGTCCTGCGGGCGCTACATCAATACTATCGGCAATACCACCCCCTGAGTCTGGGTACAGGTCCCCCGGAAACCAGTCCCCTTCTCCTGGGGCCCAAGTGCAGGGCCCTGCAAGCCCGCTGAGCCGCCCCAGGAGCACGGACTCCAACCCACGTCTGCATCCCCAGGCGGTGTGGTGCAAGGTGGAAGGGCTTGGTTTCATAGGATGAGAAAGAAACATCTCCTGGGAGAGAGGGACACGGTCCTGGTCAGGCCAGAGGGGGCTGCAAACGGGGACCCCCCTTCCCCCCTGCAGGTGGCCATGAACGTTCAGACCGCACCTGCTGTCTCAGTATGTACGCTTTGGGGTTGCTTTCTCTGCGCCGGGCACCATTATTTCACGACGTTGATACTATTATTCCCATTTTAGAGATGGGGCAAGTGAGTCTGCAGAGGCAGTGGTCCTCATCTGAGGTCAGACCTCAGCTGGAACCCAGCTCTGGCAGGCACTGAATAACAACCACAATAACAATGACAAAAACAACTGACGATGTGATTCTATAAGGCTAATCACCACGATGATTTGCCCTGGACCGTTTTTTAAGGTCTAAAGTCTTATAGGAAAAGTAATGGACTCCAGAACTGTCTTTTTTTTTTTTTTTTAAAGATTTTATTGATTTATTTGACAGAGAGAGACACAGCGAGAGAGGGAACACAAGCAGGGGGAGTGGGAGAGGGAGAAGGAGAAGCAGGCCTCCCCCCGAACAGGGAGCCCGATGCGGGGCTCGATCCCAGGACCCTGGGATCATGACCTGAGCCGAAGGCAGATGCTTAACGACTGAGCCACCCAGGCGCCCCCAGAACTGTCTTTATTACTATTACTATAGTTGTCTGGGGCGGCTGACTCACATGTTTATTGGGCTTTAAAGTTTTCTGAACCATAACAAAGAACATCTGCCTAAGAGTTTGAGATTTAGCCCAGCTCTGTGACTATTTGCTGTGTGACCTAGGGCACATCGCTTCCCCTCTCTGGGTTATAGTTCCTTCATCCAAGTGCAGGGAAGGTTGGACTAGATGTTCCCCACGGTGCCTTCCAGCTCTGAAATTCTGGGACTCAGTGGCCTGATTCTGTTCTGACAGCCCCTGGAGGAGGTAGGCGGGCAGGGTCTTTCATCTCACCGGTGGGAAATTCCGCCAGGTCAATTTCATGACCTGAAGGCAGATGCCTGGGGCTCAGTCTGATGTATTTTCTTCTGACCTGGGTGCTTCTCCTGCTTCTTTTCTGTAGACTGAAAAAGAGCAATGTGTGAAGCTTTTTTATTAATCTGAGAGAGGAGCAGGATCTGTTGAAGAGAAAGAACTTGAGACTCAGACGCAGGTTTGAAGCCTGGCCCTACCACTTCCTTGTCATGTGACCTTGGCCAAGACTCTCTTAACCTCTTCTTAAAGACCTTAGTCTCAGTGTCCTGTTCCATAGGTAGAGGCAATAATGGTGTCAGCCCCTCAAAGTGCGTGAGAGCAGGAACTCAGAGGGTGTTGGTAAAGCCCCTACCAAGGTGCCTGGCACACAGAATCAACCAACCAGGGGTAGCTGATCTTAGGGCCTCTAGAAGCCTAGGGGTTCGCTGGGTAACTGTTGGGGTGCCAGCTGCCTGGGGACCACCACCCCCTGTGTGGCTTCTCAAAGCCCTCAGGAAGCATGGTATCTTTTTACAGAATGCAAAAACATAAAGAAACCTTTCCAGGAGCCCCCGATCCCTGGCTGGGCTGGCTACCTCCCAAGAGCCAGGGTCACCGAATTGGGCTGTGCCACGCGATATGCTGTCATGGCCAGAAACTGCTACAGGGACTTCCTGGGCATCGTGGAGCAGGCCAAGAGGGCACACCTGAAGCCATTTGAGGGGTGAGTCCGGCGTGGGGCGCAGCTGCAGGTGACAAGAACCAGGGCCAGAGCAGATGCTGGGCCAGGGGGTTCGCAGATACCCCATCCCAGCTCTAGGGCTGCTTTTTTGTTTGGTTTGTTGTACAGAAGGGGCCTTGTTGGTAATAGCAGGGCCTTCACGGTAAGCAGGCACCCTCCACTCCCCATCCCACCTCACCTAGCATTCTCCAGAAGCCCTGCTTGTGGCCTTTGCTGGTTCGCAGGGAAGAAGCCGGGTGTAAAAACCCACAGGGCCACCTGTCCTGGCGGCAACCTAAGGCCCGAGGGCACTGAGGGAGGGGCATGGTATGGCCCTGCAGAGGGCGGCTCTTTGGCCTCAGTTTTCCCTTCTGCAAAATGGAGATATGATAATCCTTTAAGTTTAGGATAAATCGTCAGGACTAGAAAGTAACCTGCTGTGCTCACACAGGACCTACATAGATTAAACTTCTTCTCTTTATTATTAAAAAGAGGAGTAAGCCTATGACTTTTGTCCTTTAGAATATATGGAGATGGGTCCACACAACCTCCTCCTGCCCCTTCTCCAGAAGTTTTGCAGCATGGAGGGCTGCTGCCCAAGTATCTGGATTTTTCTCTCCCAGGTAAGGGAGTGCTCTTTCTTTCTTTCCCACTACTTTTAAAAAGGGGATGAAATGTTTACAGTAGCTTCCTGGTTTAGCTGGGCCATCGGCCTGCAACTGGTCAGGATGGTTTCTCTTCCAGGTGGGAGCTGTCTTGGCCACGGAAGACTGCTGACAGAGGACCCCGGACCTCCAGTGACGTGTGGCTGTGCCCAAAGGACAAATATGTCGTGCAACGGGAAGATTTATCTCGAGCCACTGTCCTCAGCAAAGCATGCAGAAAGCTGATGCAGACAGCCTCCCAGGGAGAGGTGAACTTAAAGGGGGACTCAGAAGCTCACCATTCTTGCATGAGAACCAGCCCCTCACCCACACCCAACAGGCACTAGGGAAATTTCAAAACCTAAGAATCCTTTCAGTGGCCACCTGCACCCTGTCTGTTTGGCAATAGCGTGTCATCAATGATAAAGATCTTTCATTGTGTGGGAATAAAGAGGATACTTCTCAGCATGCTGAAGGTTTTTATGGGGGACGGGTTTCTAGGTTATGCTGACCTGGAGAAGAGCCAGGGTGAGGCCGCTCTCTTCCTTACCCTGAGGTAGCATTGGGCACCTGGGTGAGGCTCTTAGGTAGCCCTAGCCCCGCCCTCTAACCAGCGGTCCCTGTCAGCCGTCTTGGGTCCTGACGTGGCAGTTCCCAGCGCTGGCACAATGCCATGCCTACCCCACCCTGGTGTTTCAGAGTCCCCCTCCTCAGGAGACCCCAACTGGCAGACATGAGACGCATTTGCTTCACGATTCAAATGCTGTAACAGTACCTCAACCTGGACGCCAGAAGACAACAGAGGCATATTGCTAGAACACAGAAGTGTTCTGGAAGCTAGAAATCCAAATTCAAGGTGTTAGTAGGGCCATGCTTCCTCAGAAGCTTAATCCTTCCTTGCCTCTCTCCAGCTCCTGGTGGCTTGCTGGCAATCCTCGGCCTTCCTTGGGGCATAACTACAATCCCTGTCTTTATGGTCACATGACGTCCCCTCTGTGTCTCTGTGTCTTCACATCCTTCTTATAAGGACGCCAGTCACCCTGGATTAGGGTCCACCCTTTTCCAGGATGAGCGTGTCTAAACTTAGCTCATTATACCTGCAATGAGCCCCTTTCCAAAGAAGTCCTAGTCTGAGGTACTGGGCGTTAGGACTTCAACGTGGCGTTTTGTGGGGACACAATTCGGCCCATAGCGCTGGCTAATACTTGTTGCCACTAACAGGCACTCTCTCTGCCCTCGCTCTGCATCCACTGGCCCTCAGAAGACATCAGATGCAGCTCCCGGAGCTGAGAGACCATTGCAGGCATCCAAAGGCTCAATAATGGGCAGAGCTGAAACAATACAGCACCCTCCACTCCTGGGAGTCTTGCGCAGGGTGGGAATTTTCACTGGGGTCCCCTGGGCAGAAAAATCAGGTGTCAAATCTTTAACTCCGATGAGTATAAAGAACTTTGATGAGAAAAGAGTTACCTCTTTGTTTTTACAAACCTCCAAGTGTGATTTAGTATTCCCTTCATTTACGCAACAAACCACAGCCGTACCTGTCACCTTGGCCTAATAGAAGCCGGGGTCCGGTCGTACCATGACTTTTGTTACATACAGCTTAACATAATGTTAGTGTTGATCACTACTTTATAATTATGTAGTTATTAGAGTGACTATATCTACACCCTAACATATTGCTATTCAATCTATGTACAAAGAAATACATTAGTTCATAAAATTATCCTATTTAATGCTTTGATCATAGTTCAATATAATTAGTTTCCCTTGTAATGTCATGTATTTTGCTTTCTGCATTTAAAAATGTTTATTGTGAGAAGAGGCCTGCATATTTCACCAGACAGCCAGAGGGGCCCCGGCCCAGATAGGTTTCCTCGTCCAGGGGAACAACCAAGGATGTGTGTACAGGGGGATTGTCATACAAAACAAAGCAGCAACCCAAACCCCACAGGACTTGGGATTACAATCTATCCCCATTACCAAACAATAATGTGATAGAAGAATACCTTTATGGACAAATATTTATAATATAGGACATGAAAAACAGGCCATAAAACTGTGCAATAACAGCAAACCCATGTGTACCCACACACACACACTATGATCATGTTTTTCATTTTTAAAACAGTGAGGGGAGCGGAGAGGATGCTAGCCCATAATGCTACCTGTGGTTATTTGGATGACGGTATATCATTAGTTATTTTTATTTTCTTGTTTGAGTGCTTTCCAGTTTTCCACAGCCCATAGGTATTGTTTTCATAATCACGAAAAAAGATGTTATCTTAAAAAAAAAATCTTTATTTTAGGTATTTTAATCTTCTTGAGATCATATGTTTACAGGAAAAAAGCCATGTCTTAGTAGAAGGTAGCTGGCATCTTGTTCAAAGGGCTGGGACAAACCTCAGTGAATATAGTTAAGATTTTTTTCCAACTTTGTTAAGACCTGGGAGATTGACTCCCCCCCACCCCGCCCCACCCCCGCATCCATCCTTAAGGAAAGCAGGAGATAGATGGGTCCCCCGCCCGGGACAGGTGGTCCAGCCCGCCATGGCTCTGCTTGCCCCTCGTTAGAGGGAGGGGGGGAAGCCGTTTCTGCCTGGCCGCCTCTCCCAAACCCACAGAATTTGTAGATGACTGCTCTGGACTCAAGGTTGTTGAGCTCTTTACCTGTGAAATTGAGGGGTGGCCAGGATGGAAATGCTTCCTTGAAAGGAGCTCTCATCTTGATCTTATCCATGGGATCCTATTGTGCATCAGTGTTTAAGTCACCGACTAAATCAGTTGGTACTGCCTTTGAAAATTGGCTTGAACTGTAAAACAAAAGCAAAAAATAGCGACCCAGTGACAGAGGTAACAAAATTGAATAACGCCATTAAAAATGGTTTCGTAGTATCTAATTCTTCCACAACTTCGTGATTAAGATCACCAAGTTCAATGTGCAAATCTGCAACTCCTTTTGTGGAAGCGGTCCCCCACTGTAATTCTTTTCCTTAATCTTTACCGGGGCTGTTTCTCCCTAGCCTGTAATTTCTGGAGCGTCGTCTGTCAGGGGAAGCAGAGGGGTGGTTTCACTGCCGACCACATTATCATTATTAGCACAAGCTGCATCCGTAATGAGCTCATTCTTGCCACTAAAAACAATTCCATTACCTGATAAGACAAATGTCCCTGGATCTGGAGACGTGAAGAAACAAACTGAGGGTGAGGGTTTGTGCATTTGCTTATGACAACGGGGTCTTTTGTCGGGGATACTTTGGCTTCCCTAGCATTGAAGTGCTCTTTTGCGGTCACTTCTTTATCTTCCTGGGTGAGAATGCCCCGGGGGCAGGCTGTTGGGAGGGCATGTCCGGTTGCTTGTGCTGACTCCCCATCCCACGGAGTCGTGATGGGCTGCCTCTAAACAGGATCTCAGTCACGGCTTTAACTTGCTCCAGCACCGCTGTGAAGCCTGTGGCCAGGGGGCAGACTCCCTGAGTTCGGATCTCAACTCTGTTTTTTCTGGCTGTGTGACTCTGGACGCTTTCCTTAACCTCTCTGAGCCTCAAGTTCCTACTTTGTAAAATGAAGATAACAAAACAGCTCACTCAGGGCCCAGTTGGTTATGAGAATAGAGAGATTAGGCAGGTAAATCTGGCCCCCAGGTGCTCAGGAAATATTGTTATTGTCAATTACCAACTGGGGCAGAGGGACCCAGGAATGTTGCCAACATGGGTTGGGGATGGGGGCGTTATGTCTCTGAGCCCACACTGTGAATCATTAACACAAAACGGTCCCGCACCCAGGACCCCCGGCCACTAATGAAGTGCTCTTTACTGCCGTACGTTTCTTCCAGGGATTCTACCCCAGGAGGGAGGCAGATCAGGCATCACTGACCAATAATAAAACCAGCAGCAGCTGCTAATGTGCTTGCTTATGTCAGGCTCTGGTCTAAGTCCTTTACCTGGAATAGCTTATTTAATTAGTATTCTTTATTATGAACATTTTCGTCTTATGGATGAACCAACTGAGGCACTTTGCTCAGGGTCACACAGCCAGTAAATGGCAGACCCAGACTTGAACCCAGGCAGTCTGAGGTCAGAGATGAGAGGATTAATGAGAAACCCGCAAGTACACTAAAGCGACAGAGTTGGTATGATGGGGTTCAGGATGTTGAGAGCTAGGTGCTGGGGGTGGGGGCTCACACTGGTTTGTGCCATGGGACTGCTGTGTGATTTGGTGTGAGAATCTCACCCACTCTGAGCCCCAGTTTCCTGTTATACAATGATGATGCCTTGTCGTGAGGTTATTTGAGAAGATTAAATAAATCATGCACACAAAGGGCCTGGCATTTTGCTGGCCCAAGACTCAGAGGCTACCCTTAACTGAGCTGAAGGCTCTAGAAAGGAACACCACCACCAAAAGCAGAAGTTGAGAGGTTGGATTAAGGCCAGAGACTGGAGGCCCTCATCTCCCTGCCCTATTCTAGGCCTTGCTCATCAGACTCTCTCCCACCCCAAGAGTTTCAAGAGCTGGGGTCTTGGCTCTTTTCCCAAAGGCCTCTGAGTTCCTCAAGCAAATTACTTCTCCCCCAACAAATACCCAAAGTTTCCCCTGCTGCGCAGCCCAGAATCAGCACTCTACAATGTGAGCCAGCATTAGATGGGAAGACCCAGCAGGCAGAGTCCCCACCTGCCCTCCCCTGAAAGCCTCTTTCTCTGCTGATGGAGGTGGCCTTGGGGGGGGGGGGAAGAGAATGGGGTACACCAGCCTCCATTAGTCTTCCAACAATAGGCTCCCCCAAAGGAGGCTCATGTGTCCCCCACAAAAGCCTGTGTTCATATCTGGATTCAAACCAGATTTATTTGGATTCTCCAAAGGCTGAGAGGGAGCATATACCCCACCTTCCCCAACCAGCCAGGGGTACCATCAGGAAGGGGCACCAGGCATTCCATGACCTGAACGGGCCGAACACCCAGCCCCAAGTTCCTTTAGGCCTTGTTTCTGGTATGTGTTCTCCTGAAGGTCACACCAAGGGCAACTCTCCCCAGGCCTCTCCATCTGGCTGAGGCACTCCCTGCCTTCCATCATCTCAGACCCTGGCTCCAGGGTCTGGGTGACTGGCAGGTGCTAACAGACCTCTGGCTTAATGCCATTTGACCCAAAGCCACTCCCATTTGCTTAAACTCAACACAATTGGTGATTGCTTATTTTTCAATCCATTTGTCTGAGGGTATTTTGGACTTATTTTATAATTTGTATACACATTGATCACATCTGTGGCTTGGTGAAGGTTGGGGTTTTTTTATTTCCTTGGTTGTCCTTTTTTCCCTCATTTTATCTAACTTCTTTTATCTAACATTTTGAGGACCTTTCAGCCAATGCGTCTATAAAGCTTTCTATGAAATCGATTGTCGCGAACGCGGCGTTTTATTTGAACGCTCCCTCAGCCTCCCGCCCTGAGGGTGACAACCCTTTTAATAAAAGCATAAATTACTAAGGCCCTTCCTTCTAAAACAAGGTTTGAAGACTTTCTCTCTAAAGGGCCAGATAGTCAATTTTTTAGGCTTCTGGGCCATCTGGTCTTTGTCGCAAATACTCAGTTCTGCCATCTTAGCAGGAAAGAAGCTTCAGACAATATGTAAATGAACAAGTGTGGCTGGGTTCCCATCAAACTTTATTTATAGGCATTAAAATGTTAAGTTCATATAATTTTCATGCATCACGGAATAGTATTCTCCTTTTGATTTTCGTAAAAAAAAATTTTTAAATGTGACAATTCTTCTTTGCTGGAGGGCCTTAAAAACACAGGTGGCCCACGGGCCCTCATTTGCCAACCCCTGCCCTAAACAACGAGTTAACCCAAGGGGATGATGCTAGCCAGGAGCTAGTCATAAGTGATGCATCTCATAAGTAATTTGGGTCAAGCAGGTGCCCTCTTAAGAGAGACCCCTTTGGGGGCTCTGGGAAATGGAACCGCCGTGCTCCCAGGACACAGACCATCATCCAGATCCACTGCCAAAACAGAGCAGGGCGAGGTGATGTGGAGCTCAGATTAGCTGGGAGGAATCCTGCAATGGGTCGACAGAAAATGTAGAGACAAAGGCCTGGCCGAGGCTTTTCATACTCTGCATTACAGCTAAAATCTAATTTAGATGAAAATAGATGCACAGAAATTAAATGTGCGTGTGAGGCTTTGGCCGCCAAGTTGTGGACCCTGTCACGATAGCTTCACCAAATTTACTCCTGTGGCTGGAAAACAAAGATGCTTTTTGAAATTTGATTTTGTTGTTTTACAGATTGTTTTAGCTTTGAGAATGGTGCAAACCCCATTTCTGATCTGCCTGAAACAAAAATAGAACATTAAAGTGTTTAAGATTCAATCAAAGGCTTGCTGTGAGCGGCACAATGTTAAAATAACAGACAAATCAATTCAATTTTTATTTTGAACATGATTTGTCACAAATAGCATTCTAATAGATAACACTGATTATATGGTAGCAAATGTAATTTATATATACCAAGCTCTATGCTTTTGTCGGAGTCATCATTAAGAAATTTGACACATATGCAGGAGAACAATAAATGTCAACTGAAATATATACCAGTTAGATATAAATGTGTGATGTTGCCATACGCTATACTTAGAAGGAGTAATATGCAGTCTAAAGTAGCTTGCGTTTTCAAACAAGAACTCTTTACGTTGTCATTTAAAATAGCTCATATATCTGAAGGTCAGGAATAAATGGGACTATTAGCATTAAAAGCTAGTAAAAGAAAAAGTAATTTGTTGTTCATTTAACATAACATGTTACGAAATAGCTTTGTAAAGTATTCATTATTTTTCCCCCACGGAGGCTGAGAAGACAAGATGAAGACGCCTGGTTCTTAATGGAGGGCTTTGTATCGCACTTTTCTTACCATTACATCTTGATTCAGTGAGATCTTCGTAGTAATTTCGTGGCTTGTGCCGGGGGCAGGTAAATGCTAAGAAATAAAGCTGTCTTTCCAACTGTGGTCTCTGCTGTCTCTGGCAGGCTATTGCCCAGGTCCTGGGTTTTGTCCTCCTCGGTAGTGCCATTTGGTCCAGGCATGATGGGCGTGACACTGGGGACGAGTAGCAAGACTGTCAGAGGCTGAAGATGGAGGGTTTTGATGTGACAGATGCAGGAGGGAGGGAGGGAGGCTCTTGCTGTGTGTCTCGGGAACAGTGGCTGATAAATCAGGATTTGAATGCAAATACAGACATGGAACCATCTTGGGGTCCCAGAAACCACTCAGTCACCTCTCACCGGCAACCCCTCCTATCAGCCACAGGTTCTGAACTCCAAAATATTGTAAACCTCTAATTCTCTCCTTTTTCTTTTAAAATTGGATACAAAATTAAAACTATAAAAAATAGCATTGACAAACACCTCTGTGACCACCATGTGGAATTAGCAAAGATGAACTTTTTGTCATATTTGCTTTACATCCTATTGTAACAAAAAATAAATGACATTATTGATAAGGATTCTGGGGGGCACCTGGGTGGCTCCGTCGGTTAAGCATCTGCCTTCGGCTCAGGTCATGATCCCAGGATCCTGGGATCGAGCCCCTCATTGAGCTCCCTGCTAGTGGGGAGCCTGCTTCTTCCTCTTCCCCAGCCCTCCACCCTGCCCGTGCTTTCCCTCTCTCTTTCATAAATTAAAAAAAAAAAAAAAAAAAAGGAAGGATTCTGAATGCCCATGTCTTGATATTTTGTAGTGCATATGCAGCAGGTAGCAGTATTTGGGGAATAATAATGTACATAAATGGTAATTTCTGTATCTAAATGGTATCTTCCCAACATTTGCTTTTCTCCCCAACAGGACATTTGGGGGACCTACCCATATTGCTATATATGGACCCTTCATTTCTTTTTTATTGCTAAAAATGTCTGATGGGTACAAATGTCATGTTGTTAATTTCATTTATATTCTGCTCATTACTGGCAAAGGTAACTCAAACATTTGTTTTTTTAATTTTTAAAATTTTTTAAAGACTTTATTTTAATTTATTCAAGAGAGAGAGCACAGGGGGAGGGAGGGGGACAAGCACACTCTGCACTGAGCACGGAACGCCATGTGGAGCTCAATCTCAGGAGCCTGAGATCATGACCTGAGCCGAAACTAAGTCCAACGCTCAACCGCTCAACCTACTGCACAACCTAGGCGCCCTGGTAACTCAAATATTTATTATTCGGATCCTCCTTTGTGCGTTGCCTGCTCGGTCCCTTTGTCCATTTTTCTATTGGGCTGTCCTTTTTATTATGTATGCTGGATACTAATTCTCTGTTGTCTCCACTTCAAATACCTTTTCCGAGGCTGCACTTGTCTACAATCTTGGTCGTGGTGTCTCTGTGAATAACTCAGGCCCGCCTGCTTGTCCTGCTTCATTTATTGGCTGTCTGTCAAGCGTCAGGCACTGCACTGAGGGTTTTGCATGGTTTATCTTGTTTCATCGTCCCATCCACCCTGTACCGGAGGGCTACTGTTATTCCCGGGGAAGCACTGAGGTTGGAGGTAGGAAGTAACCAGCCCAGGTAGTTTGGGTAGAAAGACAGGACACTAGGATTCGAAGTCACCTCTGCCCTCCTGCACAGCCCAATATCACCAGGTGAGAAGTGGTAAAAGATTAGCAAGTGTCCTTATGCACCCCTAGAAGGGAACATACATAGTAGTTCTCAACCCTGACTGTTCATCTCCAGGGGAGCTTTCAGGGTACTGGTGTTGGGCTCCACCCCAGAAATTCTAACTCGCCTAGGGTGTGGCCTGGACGTGGGGTTTCTTTTAAAGCTACCTGGTCAATTCTGATATACAGCCAGGGCTGAGAACCTCTGTTCTAGAATTTGTAGCTTTATTAAGATCTAGGGAGCCTCATAGGTCTCAGATATGGACCTATTTCACCACATTAGGGCAAGATTTTAAATGCTGGATAGGGTTTCAAGAAAAGAATGTCGAAAATACAAAGAGAAAAGGCTAGTAAAGAAACCCTCCCGGGTGCTGAGCTCGAGCACTGCTGTTCTGCTAGAAATTCGAGGCATCCCTGGAGAGGGGAGGGAGAGCTCCTTCTGCTCTCATTCTTGGAATCTCGGGATGAATCACCTGCAGTGCTCTGTCATGACGCCAGTCCCAGAATTGCTAATTGGAGCCGTTTCTGGATTCTAAGACTCGAACAGTAAATACTCCAACTCCTGCCCAACTCCTGTACCCCATGCCACCATGCCTCAGGCCCCGAAAGTAACATCTGCTACCTGTCACTAGGGTCCCGGGAACAAGTGGGCAGGCTGGCCAGGGGGCGTGGGAGGCCACGTGTGGGCAGAAGGCCAGGCCGGAAGGGCTGAGTTCCACACAGGCCCCCACTGCTCTGCCTGGGTGGCACCGAGAACCCCAGGACCTGGGCACAGACTCTGCCTGCTCAGCGGCCTCGGAAGAAGACCATACAGGCCCGTATCTGGCTTGGGAGGGAAAGCAGGAGACCTGGGCCTGGTTCAACCACCTGGCCTTAACCTAGTGTGAGTTCAGGTGGCTTGATCCTTCTGGGCAGCCCCTTGGATTACGGCACCTGCAGAACTTTCCAGGTAGGAGCTGGGTCCAGGCCCTTCGACTCACTTACCATTTCCTCCCAGGGAGAAGGATAACTTGGGGAAAATATTTGCATTTGACAGAATATTCCAGTTTTCTTAATTTTAAAGTGCTCTTTAAAGTAAAAATGAGATGAAAAAAATGCCTACACTTGGCAAACAATTTGGATGATTTACAGAGAAAGACAAAGGGCCATTAAACACGGAAAAGATGTTCACCCTCATAGTAAAACAAACACAAATTACAATTTAGGGAACAACACTTTAACCTACCAAATTAAAAAATGATTAGACAATTCACTGTGCTGGAAAAGGTGCGAAGCCCCCTTCTGTTAGAAGGAGCCGAATGAGGGGCGCCTGGGTGGCTCAGTCGTTGAGCGTCTGCCTTCGGCTCAGGTCATGATCCCAGGGTCCTGGGATCGAGCCCCACATTGGGCTCCCTGCTCGGTGGGAAGCCTGCTTCTCCCTCTCCCACTCTCCCTACTTGTGTTCCCTCTCTCGCTGTGTCTCTCTCTGTCAAATAAATAAATAAATAAAATCTTTAAAAAAAAAAAAAAAAAGAAGGAGCCGAATGAAATTACCAGTATTTGGCTTCTTGGCCTATAAGGCTGGCAATTTGGCATGGGCCGGCCACGCCATGAGGTTGGTTGGAGTGTGGGTTGGTATATTGGCTACAGAAGGCAATCTGGCAATCCTGACCAAAGGAAATCTATCTGAAACATTTATTGGACAAATTTTTACAATGTAAAACAGTCATAAAGGAGAGTGGTTGCGTGAATATTCATAATGGGAAATTTTGGAAAACACTTCTATGTCCATTAGCAGAGACAACCACACCACAAACACTCCTCAGTGGAATCTATGAAGCTGTAGGAAGGATGAAGAGGCTCTTTTCTGTACCATTAGAGAATAATATCCAATTTATTGATAGTGCAAAAAGCAAAGTGAGGATGGTACCTATTGCTACCATTTGTCTGAAATAAAAACGGTGGGGCTGGGGCTGGCTGTGTGAGACGGCCACCCATGAGTGTACAAGTTGAATATTTCTGGGAAAAAAACCCCAAACAAACAACTCTGGTTGTCTCTGGGAAGAGGAACCAGAGACTTGGAGGGTGAGGGTGGACAGAGACATACCTTGTGTAAGAATATTCTTCTGGATCTTTTGCATTTTGCACCACGTGCATGTATTAATTTTTTTAAGCCCCTCTTCCTTCATGCCACGGACAGGCTTTAATCTAAATAATGACTGATCTGAGTCCTGCTAGAGGCTGTTCTTGCATGGGGTCCACTTCTTCCCCTAGCATGTTAAAAGCTGGGTGGGCAACACGTGGGAGCAATGATGACTTTATCAAATATGAGAGAAATTCGTTGCCTAAGGAAATAAAATACATTTGAACAGGCCCCACAATGTGCCCTGAAAGAGAGAGATGGTGGCAGGGGAGAGCCGGTGGGAGCTTTCAGGCATTACCTCTGATTAAACTTGGCTCCAGTCCCACAAATCATTTCTGAAATGTGACCCCAGAACACAGAGAATGCCAAATTGAACACCTCAACGTCAAACCGAGGGCATTAAAAAATTTATTACAGCAAAGATACAAGAGAGATGACCACGTTTTTAACAAGGGTAAAGAGATTGTAAAACATCTTCTTGGACCACGTCACTGCTACAAAAATTAGACCTGTGGAAGAAAGCATTTTCAGCATGAGACTCATTTGCTTATGGAAATGGGACCTCAGATGAGCAAACAGCAGTTAGCCAGCCCCCTGGAATTCAGATCTCTTTGACCGAAAGGCTCTGCTACACCAAGCAGAGTCCAGGTGATTCTTACTAAGCAAAACCACTCAAACAACATCCTCCTCTCCTGTAGCTTCTTAATGAGCTGGGAGTGAATCAGCTGTGTTAGACCAAGGATTTTTTTTTTTTCTTTCTTTTTTTCCCAAAATAAGAGTCTCTGATGGGCCTGCAGCTGTGGGCCTGGCAATGCGTTCCCAGGGGCACCCTAGCCTGCTCAGAGGGGACTTTCCCTATTGAGTCAAGATCATGAATGTTCTTCATACACTACTTCTGGGAACATAAAATGTGGCAGCCACTCTGGAAAAACAGGCTGGCAGTTCTTCTAAAAGTGAAACCTAAAGTTCTCCTACGACCCAGCCATTCTGCTCCTATATACCCAAGAGAAATGAAAACGTATGTCCACATGAAAACTTGGATACAAGCAACAGTATTCATAAAAGCCCCAAGGTGGAAACAACCCAAATGTCTGCCAACTGATGAATGGATAACTAAAATGTGGTCTATCTGTATGATCTTATTTGGCAATAAAAAGGAATGAGTAAGAAGGAATGATATAGGCTACCACATGGAGGAGCCTTGCAGACATTGTGCTATGAAAAAAGCCAGGCACAGAGGACTAGATATTATCTGGCTCCATGTGTATGGAATGTCCAGAGCAGGAAAATCTACAGAGACAGAAAATAGACTCGTGGTTGCCTAGGGCTGGGCAAAGGGATAGGGAGATGAGCGGGTGATGGCTAATGGGTGTGGGGTTTCCTTTTGGGGTAAGGAAATGTTCTAAAATTGCAGAAATGATTGTAAACTCAGTGAATATATTAGAAGTCACTGAATTACATACTTTACATGGGTGAATTGTATGGTATGGGAATGATCTCTCAATAAAGATGCTAAAAAACAAACAAAAAAAAGACTGGGAAGTGTTGTCACTCCTGAGGCGTGAAGCCTGGTTGGGTGGGGCAGGTACCCAGACATGAGATGCAGGGCACCCCTGGCCTCTTCCAGCCCTGGTGGTATCTCTGGCTAGGGGAGGATGGTTGACCACCCAGCCCTCCCTCAGGGCTCAGCTTCAGAATGTAGCTCCTTGATGAGGGATCCCTTATGTGAGGGGATGACTTTGGTACTTGCAAAATATTGTGTGTGGGCCCTACTGTACTTGAAAACAATGACTCCACCCAACCCCTACCTCATGACTCTGAAATCCAGACAGTTTCACAATTCATCCCACCACCAGGCCTGCCAGATCCTCAGCTCCACGTCTGGCTGTGTGAGCAGGACAGGCCCCATGGCAGGAGGACCAGACTGGCTGTCAGAGGACCTGGGGCCCAAGTCTGGGCTACGCTTTATGCTTCTGCTCTGCTCTTGAGTATACAAAGGAAGGACACAGCCAGAGTGACATCTGATCCTTCCAACAACATGCGGAGGAATTGGGAATAGTATGGTTGACAGCCAGCACAGTTAAATGATGCTGCTGAGCAAGGTCTTGATGTGTGTTTTCAAACACATTTTGAGGTTTAGTATTCTTCTCTCTAGCTTCCCTCTGTGATCTTAAACAAGTTGCCCGACTCGCCATATCTCACTTTCCTCATCTTAAAATGAGAGCAGTTGAGGGGGTTATCTAGGTTTCCTTCAGACCCTAACAGCCTGTTATTTATGAGGATCTTCTTTGAAGGTGGCCTTCTTATTTTAAATACAGTTATATCCTCTCCCAGCCCCAACCAAGTAAGATTCTGTTCCCTTGAATGAGAAGAGAATGCCCCTGTGAGTGAGATCTCAACCCAGTTTCTATCCTTTTCATGCCATAGTCTCCAAACAAACCAGTTTACATTAATAACTGCACCCCAACTGGAATTAACTTAGCGATTTCCTTCAAGTTCTGCCTAGGTGTTTTCCTTAGTGTTTGAGATAAAACAGTCTCATGTTTGCCTGTTTCTCAAATAACTGATGCCTTGCTCCTGCCAAGTTGAATCTGGCGTAAGGAAAATGATATTTGATTTTTCAAAGTAAATCAGATGGACAGATGGGGAGTTGAGATGAATAGATGAGTAGATAATGTCTGGATGACCAGAAGACTGGATAGATGGCTGATGGATAAATGGATAGGTGAGTAGGTTAAGTGGATGGACAGAAAGGGATGGATGAATGGACGGGTAAATAGTTACATAGATGGGTAAGTGGATGACTGGATGGATGGATGGATGTATAGATAGCTTGATAGGTAAGTATAGATACTAAGATGTAGGTGGAATAAGAGATACGCACTCAGTCCCATTTTCACCGCTTTGCACTGTGATTTGCGAAGCCCCCAGCTTGGGCCGGAAAAGATTTATCACATGGTTGTTCCAGAGGAACTTAACCTTCTGGATTTTTCCAACATTGAGGTCCATGTCAATGTCACGCATATGACTTGCATGTGGTTTGAGGGATCCTCTGAAAACACAGACATAGAATGTTATATCAGCTGGATATATGAATACAAAGCATGATAGCAATCGAATGTTTCCCTAAACAATGCCGTTGTAGGTTTTCTGCAAATACCTTGAACGACTTCATGTTCATCCAGGGGCTGCTAAAACACAAATGTATTTGTGAAGCACACATCTGCCAAAAAATATAGGACTCTAGATTTCTACTGTCTTAATTTGTCCTTAGGGGAAATCAAATATTTGGGGAGGCATATTAACCCTATAATTACGCTACAAGACTAACTAATGCAATGTCTTATCTTTATTTTTTTATTTTTTTAAGATTATATTTATTTATTTGATAGAGAGAGACACAGCGAGAGAGGGAACACAAGCAGGGGGAGTGGGAGAGGGAGAAGCAGGCCTCTCGCGGAGCAGGGAGCCCGATGCGGGACTCAACTCCAGGACCCTGGGATCATGACCTGAGCCGAAGGCAGACGCTTAACTACTGAGCCACCCAGGCGCCCCGCAATGTCTTATGTTTAAAGATGCATGTGGCTCAGCAGAGGTCTTCTGTTAGGATTTCATATGGGGCACAGAAAGTTGTCAAAGAGCTTTAACTTGAAAAGCACTATGTAAAAGTACAAAAAACAGAATATAATTTTACAGCACAGTTACAGTTCATCCAACACATATTTACCAAGCACCTCATCTGCCCAGCAAAAGCTAGGTGCTGAGGCTACCACCACAGCAACAAGAAGCTAGGGATGCCTGTTTTGGGGGGTGGAGAGGGCACGTGTTGGGGGAATTGCCACATAAACGTGCGTCACCGAAGGAGAAGTCGATATCAATAAAACCGAAGTCAGAATTGGACATTCCAAAAGAAGTTAGCACGTATTTGATTTTAAATAGTGAATTCCCCCTCTGGGCCTCACTCTTCTCATCTGTAAAATGGGATGACTGGATCAGACGCTAAGATTTTCCTCCAGCTCTGACATTCTAGGATTCAATGGTTCTCTATAGAGTAGATGGTCAGATTTATAAATCATTTTATACCCAATCTCTTATGAATACTCTGTGATGAAAAGTCTGACCATTTCACTTTACCATCAAACTTACTTGAAAATTTCATATTGTTTTGAGTTTCCGTTACTTCCATACAAAGCAATCCTGAAGTACCCACTCGTTTTCTTTTTTCCAGCCAGTGTGACCGATACCCTGTATCTCCAACCTGTCCAAAGACATATAATCAGTTCAATGAACTAATCTTGTTGAAACAAAAAAAATCATCCCATGGAAGGATTCTTGCTCCTAGCTTGGAATCCCCAGCCTGAAATGTCAGTGGTGCCAAGATAGAGAAACCCTAATCTAGAGCTTTCTCTGAGCATTCACACACACACAGATAAGTTTATAAAAGAATACCCAGGCTTTTTTCCCCTTCCACAAATAGGATGCACCATTATTCTCTATTGTCTCCACCCATCCTCATCCCAGACTGATTTACCACCCTTCTCTCTCCTACCCCGTGTTCTGGAAGGCCACCCCCACCAGGGATCTTGCCACTGGTGTTCAGTTGAGTTCAGCTGGTAAGAGATGTGTGCAGGAAATCAGAAGACAGGAGGAAAGAGGGGGACCCATCTCTCATGCTCCCCTGCTGTCTCCTGGCTCTAGTACCGGATGTCTGGCAGTAACTCCCCCCTCTATGATAACGTGTCATTCCAGGAGCCCCACAGCCACCAGATTCTGGGTGCCTCAGCGTCCCTTGTTTGTTCCTTTAACCTTGCCCACACCTCTCAAAGTAGACCCTTCAATAAAGTCTCTTCATTTGAGCCTCTTCGATGAGTTTTCTCTCCTGTTGGGACCCTGACTGATACATGTTGTGGGATACATGGTTTTTTGGTCATTTGCCTTTTCACTTACTATAGAGGATTTTTCTCTTCAGTACATAGAACTATCTCCTTGCTTTTAATGGTTAATACAGGATTGGTTGTTTACCAGTTGGTGGGCATCTAGGTTTCTCCTCACTAAACTTTTGGTATTAAAAACAGTGCTCCAGGGCGCCTGGGTGGCTCAGTCGGTTAAGTGACTGCCTTCGGCTCAGGTCATGATCCTGGAGTCCCGGGATCGAGTCCCGCATTGGGCTCCCTGCTCGGCAGGGAGTCTGCTTCTCCCTCTGACCCTTCCCCCTCTCATGTGCTCTCTCTCTCTCATTCTCTCTCTCAAATAAATAAATAAAATCTTAACAAACAAAACAAAACAAAAAAAACAGTGCTGCAGTGAACATCCTTGAGCGCACCTTCTTATGCAAGCATTGCCCTAAGGTACGTCTGATAGGTGGAATGACTGGGTTGAAGAAATATGCACATGAGACATTATAGATACTGCCAAACTGCTATCTTCCATCCTAACTATTGTAAGGATTACATGACAAGTGTTTTGTAAAGTGCTATACGTACATATTTTTAAATTTATCACTCCCTTGGAAAATAACACTCTTCTATTTAGCCACCATGTATTATTACTTATGACAAATGAATCTTGATGATTTTACTATCTTGTACGTTTTTGGTGAGAAGCTGGGCAAAACAACAACACAAACACTATGTGTGTGTGTGTTTGTGCGTGTGCATGTGCACGTGCATATATGCGTGATTGTGTAGGGAGACTACATTATCTGTATGGCAGATAATCACAGGCATGACCTCTTGACTTACAGTGGCTTTGCCCACATGACCCTCTTCTTCTGTTAATGGATTCACCCTTTCTGGTACCAGGGTGGGTGAAAATGTGACCAGCCTGTGCCAATCACTGCACTTCATTCCGTTGATCAGGATTATTGGTTAAATAATGACCTTCTATTACAGCTAAGCCGGTTGGAGTTGAGTTTCTGTCAGTTGCTAGCAGGGGTCCTGACTAATTAGGCTGATACACCTTCCAAATTATTTGCAAGAGTTTTTAAATGAGTAAAATGGAAACTTACGAGTAAAGTTACCACTGTCTCCTGTGTTCAGGAAAAAGGTTTGTCCCACAGCACTGGTTTTCCCCAGAAATTGGTCAGAGTAGTGCCCCATTTGGGGGCATCCTTCAGCTGGACAAGGGAAACAGCTATTCTGGTAAAAGAAAACATAATTTGCTTGTTAGTGACTGACAAACTGCTTGTTTGACCGACTCACTCAGTCACTCGTGGAATCACTCATCTTCCCATCCATCTTCCTATTTATCTACCCATGCACCCATCTATCCCCCATCCATCCTCTCATCTACCTGCCCATTGAACCGTCCATCCATCCTTCCACCCCTTCACTGACATGCATGCATTCATCTACCCATACATCCATGCATTCATCCTCAGAATCATGCACAGAACTGTATGAAGCCCTGCTATGTACCCAAAGAAGTACCCAGAAAACTTGGAGTATAGTTGCGTAGACAAGTCATATCCAGGAAGCAATAATATTAAAATATGGAAGGGAAATGCAAGACATCTTCCAGGAGGAATAAATGGGACAAATAAGTTACTTCAAAAGAGCAGAGGAAGAGAAGGTCTATGACCATCTTCACTTTAATGTGAATTATATAATTGATCCCTGTGTGATGTTTCCCAAATGGTAGCTCATTAGTTGGGGATGGAGGAGGTGGTTTGCTCTGTTCAGATCAGACTAACATTTTATAGTACAGTGTCACTGGTCTTCTGTTCTTTGCTCTCACCAAATCCATCTTCCATGATATGCAGAGCTATTTTGCGATTTGGAAAGCACAAGACACGTGCTGGAGGCTGGGTATATTATTATCCATGCCCCAGCAATAACCAGCATGGCCAAGGCTGCACAACGAATACTCACAGACCCTGGGGATTGAACATGATGCCCTTCTGATCTTAGTTCAACCCAAGAACGTTAAGGTCGAAATCAATTTTGAAAGGAAAACGTGTGAGTATAAATATATTTTTGTTTTTACTTTTGAGAAAAAAATATTTTGAAGCCTTAAACGTTTGCAACTCCAAAGTGCTAATTGATTCGGGTAAGAAGCTCAACCCTTCGCACTGGTTTGTTGTTTCAGAACAGTATCACCTCAGAGATCACTTAGGGGAAATGGGACTTCTAGAGTGGAGAAATCTGGCAGATTTTTTTAATCTTAAACAAGTAATCAAACTGCAAGTCATCAAATAATAAGACAAAGTGTCACTAAATGAATGCCAATGTCTCTGGTTGTGATACACTGAGGACTCGATAACACCCGGTGAATCACGAAGAAATAACCAGACAAATTCAGATTGTGGGCTATTCTACGAAACACTTGGTCTGGAATCCTCATAACTGTCAATGTCTTGGAAGACCAATGAAAGATGGAGAGCTGTTCTGGATTAAAGGAGCCTAAAAAGGGGGGTCCTGGGTAGCTTATCAGTTGAGTGTCCGACTCTTGGTTTTAGCTCAGGGCATGATCTCAGGGTCGTGAGATTGAGCCCCACGTCGGACTCCATGCTGGGTGTGGAGCCTGCTTAAGATTCTCTCTCCCTCTATCCCCTCCCTGCCTGCGCATGTGCACTCTCTCTCTCTCAAAAACAAAAAAAGAGAGAGAGAAATTAAAGGAGATTAAAAAAAAATGCAATGCAGGAAAAAGAAGGGAAGAAAGGAAGGGAGAGAGAGAGGCAGAGAAGAGAAGAAAGGGAAGGAGGAAGAGAGAGAGGGCGAATGAAAGAAAGAAAAAGAAAGAGCTCTAGACGACATTGTTTGGATATTTGGAGAAGTTTGAATATGGACTATATATTAGAAAATATTAGTGTATCAATGTTAACTTTCTTAAACATTGTTCTAGAGGAGAATGACCTTGTTCTCAGGAGATGGATGTATTTATGAGTAAAGTCTTGAGTTTGCTTTCACATAATTTAGAAGAAAACTATACATATGCACACATTTGCATGTTAACAATTGGTGCATCCTTCTTTTGGCTCCTGTGTAGATTGGGAATCTTCTAGAACAAAAAGTTGGGATCTAGGGAAAGCCCAGTGGTCAGGTCCCACCCTGCTTCTGGGAGAAGGTCTCCCTGAGGCTCAGCATGGCCGGTCCCTCCTCCCGTTCCTCATGAGGTTACAGATCTGCTCTGTGCCAAGCCACAGGGACAAAACCCCCACTGCCCACAGGGCCACCAGCATCTTCCCCCAGCCCTGGTGTGACCTACCTCCTGAAACTCATTGTAGGAGGCGCACGGGTAGCCCAGGAAGCCGTCGGGGTTGAGGATGCTACTTGAGTAATACTTGTAGCTCCTTAGGTGATTGCAAGCCACAAAGTCTCGGGTCCCTGAGGAAGCAAAGGCCACCGGAGCTCACAGGACGCATTTCACTTTTGAAGGCTGAACCACTCTGACTGATCGAGGAATCCCCTCCAAGATGAGTGTCTGAAATACCTGTGACTGACTTGGACATACGTAGGCGCGAGGAGGAAATCTGGGGCCGGGCATGTAATGTGAAGGAATGGTAGGGGCTGGGGGCCATGCAGGGGGCAGTGAGACATGTATATGCAGAGAGAGAGGGTGGGGTGGGGTGGGGATAGCAATAGCCTTTAAGGGGACCCTACACAGCCCAGCCAGTCATCGCATGGTAAAGGCCCAGATTACTTGTTCTGATTTTTCACGAGTAGCTAGCATCTTGACTTTTCCATGAAAATCTTTCCATGCTCACATGAGAGCAGTATGTTCCAACTTTTAAATAGTCACTGTGAAGGCCAATCACATACTGCTGGGGGTTGCGTTCTGCCTGCAGGCTGGGCCTCAGTTTGCGAGCTGGACACGCCGGACAGGCCTTTTGAGTGAAGCAGGCTTACCCATGTCTTTGGCTCCAGGCTGAGAACTCTTTCTTTCCTACTATTCCAGGCACAAGGTAAAAGCAATGGACAGTGCGATTACTGTGGCCTCTGGCCACTCTGTCACTGCATTTTATTCACCATTTTTTTCTTTAACCCAAAGCCCTCTTGTTTGGAAAATTGTTTTTTCACTTCTCCAGCTACTGGGTACAAAACTTCCTATGAAGTGATCCCCGGCAACAGCAGACGTAGCTGGGGGTCCCTTCGGGGGCGGGGGTCTGGTGGCTTCATTCCCTGCCCAGGGAGAAAGGCACACTGGGAAGCAGAAGTGGGATTAGCTCCCCACAGCTCTGGGCTCTACATGCCCCCCAGCCCAGAAACTTCCTGCAGAAGCTGGTTCCGTGTGCCCCACACCAACGCTCATCTCCAGACAACAGAACTTGTTTCAAACGGAACTGTTTCTTTCATCCGAAACTGCTGCCCTGGGATCCCATCCTACAGGAGCAAGTAACTTGCACTGTCCTCTGCTCAGCCTGGGTAACTAGGAGCTCCACACAGTCCACACACACTCCAGTGTTCATGGGCTTCTTCACTCTAAACGGCCTTTTTAATTAAACCTGGGCTCCCATTATGTGTGGCCTGCTCGGCACTTCCGGGAGGGGGCAGCCCTCCCTGTGACTCTGGTGGGCTCCCAGGGAGCAGAACAGCTGCGTCTTCCCCGGAGTAACCTGGCGCGGAGCCCAGAGGAGGTTAAAGCACCATGTACTGTCAGTGGATATCGCCTGTGGCTTCAGCAACCCTGTTCTTTAACATCAACATATATAAATGTTGATGCTATATAAAATATAAAAATGCCACCGAAGGTCACTGAGCCCCGTGTAACGGACTTGCACGGATGCTTGCTTCGGGCTAGACCCCGGTGCGTCTGGGAGGTCCCCGACACATTCCCTGGCTTCGGGGAACTCCCAGCTCAGACAAATAAATCCTAAAATGAAATGATCACAGACTCAAAGCCTCCACTCTCAGGGAGGACAGTGAAGCCCGGTTTCAGGGCTGGGCGACAAGAGTAGCCGGAGGTCAGAACAAGGGCAGCGAGCCCAGATGATGCTTTAGGTCACCTCCTATTCGGGGCACTGAGCCCACCTTCTCAGATGAACAGAAGTCCACACAAGGCTCATCCCCCAGAGCCCAGGCCTCCTGCTTCCAGCACACTCTCCCCAAACCTGCAGAGCACGTCCCCCTCTTTGTCTTCCTACCAGCTCAGCTCCTTTCTGTACCTAGAACCTGACCAGAGCAAATGGCAAGAAAGTCTAAGCCGCTCAGATCTTTGTTTATACCCAGCGAGCAGTCCTTCAAAGAACAGGCACGGAGGACGGAGGGCCAAAGCCCAAGCTGGGTCTTTGCCAGTGGGCTGGTCCCCTCCTGCCTCAGCATCCTGACAAGTGGACGACGGTGCAGGAAGGGGCACAAGGTCGGGGCTCTGCAGCCAGAAGTTGGGCTTAAATCTAGGGTAGCCTTGGGCAAGTTTTGTAACTGTACTGACCCAGTTTCCTCATCTGTAAAATGGGGCTGATGAGAGTAAAGATCTCATGTCATTGTTGTGGAAATGCCTGGCACAGAGCACGCACCGTTTCTCCCCAAGTGGAACAGCAGCTGTCTTGCTTCTCTAACTTACGTACCTTCCCATAGGCCATTTATGTCAACGATGGTTGAAAGGATATTTTTCTGACATCCAGGCATTTGCTTTCCTCCGTTTGGATAGAAATCCAGATGGCCCACCTTTTGGCTCATTCCAAAACCTGAAATATTGTAAGCAGAGGGGAGCAGGGAGGTGAGTGGTCCCAATGGTAGGCTGTGGTCACAGACAGCGTTCAGCTCCTTCCAGCCACAGCGAGAACCTTCTTGGCAAATTCTCTCCTCGGCCTAGCCACCCTGTCTGTGGCTCTGCAGAAAGTGCTCAGAAATGGGCACTTGGCCAGACTTCAAGAAGGGAAGAGAGCACACAGGAAGAGAGATGAGGGGGAAGGTGGGCTCTGGGCGAGCATGCACACAGGTGTATTGTATGTATATGTGTGTCTGTCCGTCTGTCTGTCTTGGGGAGACCCTGAGCGGTACCGTCATGCCCTGACACCACTATGTACCAGCAGATACATATCAGGACTAGTGCAATTTTTATTACCGTATTCATTTAAAAATTTTTACTTCTATGTTATATTGTTATGCTGAGACACATTCCATTATGTTGCTATACTGAGAGCCCAGCACAATGGTAGGAGTTTTGGTTTTTGAAGCATATAGACCTGTGATCACAACCTGGTTCTACCTATAGGCTCTGTCCATGTTGGGCAATTACTTGGCCTTGACCTTGTGGAGCCTCCTTCCCTCTGGCAGTGAAATCGCAATAATAATACCCACTTTTTAGGGTTGTTACGATTAATGAGCTGACGTATACAAAATGTTCAAAGCAGCGCATGGTAAACACTCAATAAATGATATAATTTTCATTAAAAACATGCTTTCACTGGCACGTTTTGTGAGTGGTTGTATAAGAATATAATGAAAAAAGAACATTGACTTTAGAAGAACTAGATAAAAGGATATATTTCATCTCCAACAAAACAAACTGTTAGTAACCATAGCTTTGACAAAAGAAGTAAAAAAAAAAAATTTCAAAAATTAACTTTTGCATTTTGCCGGTACAAGTCAAACATCAATAAGAATTTTAACTGTCCCTCTGGATATTGGCAGATTGAAAGGACTAAAGATTTGAAGACTGATGACAGCCTTTCAGGCTGTAGAAGTGTTTTTGGTTCTACCTGGGCCAGCAGGCAGTTCGATCCCACTGGCACCGTCCTGCCTGTTTGTGGCTGGTGCCTGAGGTAGTCCTGTGGTTAGCCTCGTGGTATGCGTGTGAGGTGCACCTGGACCCACTCGCATCAGTCACACCTGGTCACCAGGAGGTGCAGTGGGGAACCCACCTAGGAAGGGGATGATGGGAGCAGAATCCGTGTGAATCACATCCACAAACATGGCATCAGATGGGTCCAGCCGAACCTCCTCAGACGTGCCCTGGAAGCATGGCTGTGCGGGGTCCAGTCCTGAAATGGGGGAGGTGAGTAGTTAGGCCACACTCTAAGACGAACCAGGCTCTAAACCCTCTACCCACAAAATCCATGGGGATTCCTGGGCCAAGAGTCCCAGACCTCAGCAGCCGTGACTTGGGGAATTGGGTCTGTAGCTCCCGGTCTGCTCAGGAGAGAGAAGTTGAGATAGAAAGGCCAGAAGTGGGGTCACTGACTGTCAACAAACATCCAGAAGTCCCCAGTGCCTGACTCTGAGCAGGATCTAGGGGGCCCCCTTGCCCCCTCATCTCCTTTGTCCTTTTTACCTTCACCTGTTACTATTCGACCACAGCTCTCCAAGACTGCAAGCTCCCTGGCCTTGCCCAGCTCCACTCAGTCTCCTGTCCCCACACTGTCTGTCCCCTCCGGCTGCTTACGCTACCCCCACCCGCTGCTCACTTCCCCACATCCTCCCCTAATAAATCTCTTCTCTCCAAGACCGGGCTCAAACACCACCTCCTCAGGGAAAACTTAGCCTCTCCTTTCTCAGCGCACACCACCAACCTTGTATAGGATTATTTTGTGTTTAATTAATTTGGCTCTGAATTGACTTGCCTACTTAATCGTCTGCCTCCTGGACTAGACTGTGGATCTCCTGAAATGCGCTGTGGCCGCTTCATCTTTGAAGAGAGGCAGAGGGTGGAACCCACCGGCACCCGGGACTCAGGCACCTATATTTAGCCCTGGTTTTCTGCTCAAGGTCAAACACCTGTCCGCTCTGAGCTTCAGTTTCCTTGTCCGGATGGTGGGAATAACAACCACTCTCTTACAGGGTTATTGTGAAACCCCCATGAAAAGGTGGAAGAGAAAGGACTTTGCAAACTGAAAACCTCTACAGAAACATGAACTACGATCCCCTTATCCCTCCCCCGACACCAGCACAGCACCCCGAGCAAAGGAGACATTCATTACATTGTGAATTGAACTGTTTGCCAAAGCCACATGCTGATTTGCCGGCACAAAATAAGTAGTTGTCCGTGTCTGTCTTATATGCGTTCATTTCTGCCAAGTGACTCATTCATTTATTCAGTATTTACTGAGCACCTCCGATGTGGCAGGTTTCAGGTGGCCACTTCTCATTCTCTGCCTGTGCATGGCACAGCACACGTATTTGTGGAACGGATGAATTAATTTTAAAAAATCAGTTTTATTATTATTATTATATTACTCCTGCAATAATAACCCTGAAGTCAGGTGCTTAATATTCTAGTTATAGTTTTCTTTTTAAAAAATAAATGTATTTTTATTTACAATCAGGTATTTTCTAATACACATGAAAACACGGACAGTTACCTTCTGATTCCAGGGGGGGCACCACCTACCCCCCACTCCCGCTGGCGGGGGAGGGGTGCGCGCGGCCGGGGCCCCTGCGCGGGCCGCGCTCCCGTCTCGCCCCGGCCGCGCGCACCCGGTCGGGGCCGCGCGCTGCGCACCTGTGATCCTGCCCGCGTGGCCGCCCAGCCTCCTGCCCGCCTCGGCCGCCGCGTGCGCGCCCAGGCTGTGGCCGATGAGGTGCACGTCCTCCGGGCTGTAGCCCAGCACGGTCTGCGGACGGATGGCGCGTCAGGTCCCGCCGGCGGGGCTGTGGGGGGCAGGGGATGCGCGCGGGCGCGGGGCTCGGGATGGGGACGGGACTCGGGCTGGAAACTCGCGAGGAGCCCCGCCCCCGATCTCCCCCCCCCCCGCCCCGATCTCCCCTCCCCCCGACCCCCCGGATCAGGACACCGCCTGCGACCGCGCGACCCGGCCCGGCAGTCTGCGTGGCCCGCGGGCCGGCTTGTGCGCGGGGCGACAGTGCTGACCAGCGGCCACCGAGTCAACTGCAGGCTTCCCGGGCGGGGACCGCCGTGCGCTGCCTGCTGCCACCCGCACCCCGCCGCGGGGCCACCTCCCCGATCCCTGGGAGAGCGTGGGTAGTGGGCCTGGCTCTGGGATTCTCCAGAATAGACCTTCCAGAAGGCTGTAAGGGGCCTTCCGTCCTGGGCTGTCTGAGAATGAAGACTCATCTGGCCTGAGAGTAGCTGGCAGCCCAGCGTGCTCTGGAGTCCCCAGAAGAGCATACAGGGAAGGCTTTCTTTCAGAAGGGGAAACTGAGCCTCAGAGAGGTTAATTTGCCTCGGGTCCCATAAGTAGGAGTCTTCGGGACAATTCAGGAGGGAGGAAAGGTGCAACTTCACCTTAGAAAAGGCCCTCCTTGGGCTTCCAGGCCTGGCCCCAGCCCGGGGCTGGGGGGCGGAGGGGGGGGGTTCCTTAGGGTGTGTCTTAGGTCCGACGAAGGTGGTGTTTGCGTGCCCCCCTCTCTCCTCCCTGCCCGCCACCCACAGGATGTGGCCCAGGCAGGGTTTTACCGACAAATTTTGTATGAAGAAAGCTATCTGTGCTCCCACAACGCGAATGTTGTGGACGGCTTGGGTATATTGTGTCTTGGCCCCGCGTTTCCAGTCCACACAGATGCAGTTCACCTTCTCCACTTTAAACATTTTCTGGGGAAGACAAGCAAGAGGGAGAAACCAATTTATCAACAGCCACAGGTTGTACACTCCAGAGATAGGCATTCACACCCGTCAAGCTCCTAGTTGTGCCAGAGCCTGATTCCTTGCACTTGTCCACACTTCTGCCACATCACTATCACTGGGTATGCTTATCCTCACTTAACAGATGCGGAAACTGAGGCCCGGAATGGATTAAATGATTTGTCTAAGGTCTCATGGATACTTAGTGACACACCCAGATCAAAAAGATCTCTTACTAGAACAGGGGTTAGCAGACTTATCAAGGTAGGGCCAAATCCACCTGCTTTTATAGATAAAGTTTTCTTGGAAAAAGCCCCACCCATTTGTTTACTTACTGTTTATCTCTGCTTCTGAGCTAAAACAGAGTTGAGTTGAAACCATATGACCCATATGACCCAAATTGAACACAGATGCTAAAGTATCTGCCACCTGGTTCCCTACAGGAAAAGTTTGTGGACCTCTACACTAGATAGTTGAAGCCCGGGGTAGTGCTGCTTTTATGTTCCCAACAATACTCTAGGTGTTCTAGCCTGACCCTAGCTCCTCATTTGGATAGTGCAGATACAGAACATTCCCATCAGCACAGAAATGGTCTATTGGATAGCAAAGCTCTAGAAGGTAAACTTAAGTGCTTTCCTGTCACCCAAGGGTTTTACATAAAGCATCAAAGAAAAATGTCAGGAAATGTGCTGTAGTCTCCACCTCTGGAATTTTCTGATTGCACTCTGGTTCTTTTCGGCCTCAAGAGGAGCTGGTTGGCCAGAAGTTGTTGGGTTGGGAGAACTTGACAATGGATACCCTGGGAATCCAGGCTTTCCTTGGTGGTTTTGCAAAGGACAGTTCTTTCCCTGAGTATTTCCTTTCCCAGCCTCAGAGACCCTGGGGCTGCGGGGTTTGAATCTGGGTGCTGGGTGCTGATCTCCATCTGGAGTGGCTAGGTGCGGGGTGGGGGGGATCCCTACCTTGCACATGTCCATCAGCCAGTTCTCTTCCCCCTTGTCTATGAAGCCGTGGATGATGAAGCGCGTCTTGCGGTCTAGTTGGAAGTTGGAAGCCTCGACCGTGGCTAGATCAGTGGCAGTGATCAGCTGGTTTAATTACAAAAAAGTGCTAGGCAAAATGCCTGAAGAAGGATCACAAAGTAAAAACAGCATCATAGCCGCGTCCAAGCAGACTCCCAGTTGGGAGCTGGGAGCAGGGCGTTGGTCCCCTAGAACCCCACAGTGGGTGACCTCAGGGACCTATAGATAGACACCAGCTCTCTGAAACCTCTCAGGGACTGGAGCTGGGAGCTGCTTGGATTCTGAGCATGTCCTTCTTGGTCACTTCTGACCACCAGCAGGAAGCCTGCCCTGCTTCCACCTGGTAGGCTTTCTGGGAACTGAAGGGTGCCCCGAGGGTCCCCACCTTTTGTCTCTTGTGGCTAAGTTTCCCCTCTTCCTATCTGTCTTCTGGCTCCTCAGGAAGGATTCATAGTTCCCCATTTCCATCCCGTTGAGGGGCTTCTCTCCCACCCCTGCCTGGTGCAGGAAGAAGACAGACCCTCCCAGGGAATGCCAGGCCTGGGCTTCTCCATAAATGCTGCTCATACTTTCCCAGGAACAGGCTAAACTGCAGCTGGGAAACTTTTGAAGGTCTGTGCACGGGTGTGCGTGGATGTGTTAGTTTCTGGGTTGGGCGTCCAGAGATTTCATTAAGCTATGCATAGCGGTCTGTGATCCTGAGAGCTAAGTTGGCTCTAGGTCTAACACTGGCGAGGAAGCATCATCTGCAAAGTTCCAAGGCAGTGCATTTTTTTCTTTAGACAACCATGTGAAAGCTCCAGTGTGGGCACCCAAATCCACCCACCGTGCAGTGTTTCCACACCCACTCTTACTTGGAAGTTGTTCGGGTTTTCATTTGTGTACAGGAGAAAGCGGGTGTCAATGTCCTTGGGATCCCAGGGAAATAACTTTAAAGGCCGCTGAAGGGTCCCGCACCATGGCTTTTCATCAGAAAAGCAGCCAAGATGTCCATAACAGATCTCCTTTCCTGGGGCAGGAAGAGCAACGAACAGGGCACTTGTGAGGTTCTGGAAAGGAGCACTGTATTCTCAGCTACACAAGAGGATTCTTCAGGGTGAGCCCAAGCCTGGCTATGGCCAACACTGGTCTTCACCTTTGCCAGCTGTTGTTCCCCAAACTTCCGTGGTGATAGGAATCACCTGGGGGCTGGGAGTGACTATGTGTGTCTACACAATCCCAGGCTCCTCCCTCAGAGATTCTGATTCACCTCACTCCCTAGGATGGGGTGCTGGGAATTGCACATTTAATGATGTTTAACCCTTATCATCTGGCCAGTCGGGGAATCACTGAGAATTCCTGGGACCCTTCTGCCTTAGAACTACTTCTCCCAGGAAACTCCCAGATGGCCTTGGATGTATATTCATCAAGCATCAGGTAATTATCCAAATGTGAAAATCTGTGGCATGGTGCCTCTTGATTCCCCTTGACCTCTCCATTACATCCACCGCCGGCCGTGCACGCAGTAGGCATTTGTGGGTATTTGTCCAATGCACATAACTTCATGTCATCCTTTTACACACACTTTTGCGCCAAATTATTCTCTGCTATTTCAGATTTTCCCTGTTGTTCCTAAAAGGTGAATTTTTTAAAGAACAGGGATGATTTATTGTTGCATCATACTATATGGAGTAGGGGCTCAACCCATGCCCCTGATAAGGCACATAACCATAAATGTCACTCCTTTCTCTGCCTACAACATGCACATTTCCGCAAGAAATTGTCACTGAGGGTGACATAATCAAATCCGGAGGATTGCAGTGGGTCTCTGTCTTAGGCTTCCTCAGCTCCTAAAGCGCTGGTGCTAAATGCTGGCCGTTCATTCAAAAACTGGTGATAGTTAATACTTGTTTACTGTGCACCAGACACCATGCTAGCACTTTACCAGTATTGTCCCACTGAAGACTCAGAACAGCCCCGTGAGGAAGGAGGTTGTATTATTACACCCATTTTACAGATGAGGAAACCGAGGCACAGAGAGACAGAGTAAGCTGCCCCAGGGGACGGCCAGCGGAGGAGCCAGGATTTGAACCTGTGAAGTTTAATTGGGATTACAGCTAGGTGCTGAGGAGAAGCTGGGACAGATCGGGGTCAAACCCCATCTTGAGAGAGAGAGGAAATGTAACAGGGAAGGAGTAACGAAGGAGGGGAATTCACTCTGGGAAGCGGGGGGACTAAAGTAATGCTTGCCTCGGTGGCCAGTGCAGGGACTTGGGGGCCAGGTTAAGACACCTGGGCTGTTGGGGGAGAGTGGGGAAGTGCTGGAGGGCGTCGAGCCGGTGAGTGGTGTGGGGGCCCTGCTTCATGAAGGTGTTCTGCAGAGCCTAGTGTAGGTGACTCTGAGGAGGGAGGCCTGGGAGAGGCGGGGGTGTGGGGTGGGGCAGTGCAGGGGCAGGGAGCCTGGGGAGGTCACAGGTGTCCTAACCCCCGATGACAGTGGAAATTAAGGCAGAGGTGGGGAGATGGGGGTAGGAGGTGACGTCTGAGCCTGGTTTGGGACAAGTGAGTTTGAGGCATGCTGGGAGGTCCTGGAATTCAGGAGGGGGGGGGCAGAGGCTAGGCAAGGAGGAAGCTCGAAAGCAGAGAAAGAAAGGTGGGGTTGCCTGGGAGTGACTTCTGGAGGCTGCCCGAGTCCGGGGCAGGAGGAGGCGGCAGACCAGCAAAGGAGACCAGAGGGCCCAGAGAGGCCTGAGATGCAGCCCCATCCACCCCGGACTGCTGTTGGGAGCCAGCTCTCGCTCCATGGCTGGGATGGGAGGCTCAGAGGGGACCTGGGGACAAGCCAAGGAGACGAGGCGGGGGAGTCTGGGTGCGGAAGAAAGCCTCAGTAAGGACCCGAGGAGACCATGTCTGTTGTTGTGGGAAGCATGCTCCAGCAGGGCTTGGGGGGCCGAGCCAGGCAGTGAGGGGTTCTGCCTGATGGGACGAAGTGAGGCCGGCCTCTGCGGGGGTGGGGGTGATGGGAAGTAAGCAGGCCGGAGGCTCCAGGGACTGTGGTGGTAAGGGAGGTTATTTCTGTTTGAGGATGAGTAGACCTTGGTATCTGTATCTGAATCTGAACAGAGGCCAGAGGAGAGGGACTGATCGGAGCTGGGGAGACAGAGACCATGTGAGGAGAGACAGTGGGGGTCATGGGCGGGAGGGTGGGTTCATTTGGCCGGCCTGTCACACAGTGTCATCTCTGTGACATTAGTCTGCGGGCATGCGCTTGGCCACTCAAGGGACCGAGGGTGTGGGGGGCCTGCCGAAGCCGCCTCCCCCTCCCCCTGCCCCAGCTGCTGTCACCTCTGCCACCTGCCTCACCGTCCCTAGAGCCTTTGCAGGAAGAACAGGACGGAGCAGGATTCCCTGGGATCATCCGTGTCAAGCCCATTGCCACAGAGTCACGCCTCCCTGAAGGATGGCAGTTGCTTTTCTTGAAATAATGATAATGCTGTTATTCGTGGTGGCGGAAGGCCCACCCAGGCAGTGTCACTCTCTCCCCAACAGAAGGGGAACAGCATCCTCACCTCTGACGGTGGCCAGCAGGAGAAGGCCGATGGTCCAGGAAGGCAGCATCTACATGGATAAAAACATAGACACACAGACACCCCTGGGCACAGGTTCGAGGCCGGCAGTAGCCGAGCCCAGACAGGACACACAGTGTGTGGAACCCAAAGCCCAGCACCTGGGCCCCCTGGGGCCTCCCCCTGCCCCCACACACACTGCTCTGAGACCCCCAGTGTCTGGGTCTCCCCGCCGCAGGGCCCTCACCTGCCGCCCCCAGGGCCGCATCCCTCTGGCAGCCCCAGCCCCACCAAGCTGCCCCACGGGGGCCGAGACTTACCGTGCAGCACCAGAAGGGTTGGCTGGGGCTTCTACACCCGCCCTCTCCTTTGGCCTCCCGAGAGGAGAGGAAGGGGAGGCTAGCTAGGGCCGTGCACCTGCGTGCTTCGAACTTCGGTTCTCACAAACACGTATCACATAAACACATCCGCACGTTCCACCAGCTTGGCCGTACGACCGAGATGCTCAAAAGAAGAAAACGAACACAGCTCAGCTCTGGCTTTATTTAGAAACATAGTCTTTATATTAAGACCGTTTCTGAGCTGTATCAGCTGTACTTTGACCTGGAGATAAGAAGGTCCTTCCTTCACTGCTGAGAGGACAGCCAGGTGCCGCCCTGCCATTTTTTTTTTTTAATTGGTGTATAATTTAGATATACCACAGTGCAGAAATCTTAAGTTTAAAGGACAGCGTAATGAGCTTTGACAGATGTGTCCTCCTATGTTAGTGGCCCAGATCAACATATAAGACGTTTCCAGCAGGCAAAAGTTTCTCTCATGATCTTTTAGCATCACGCCCACACCAGTGCTTTGTTTCTATCACTGTGGATTCATTTGATCTGTTCTAGAATTGCTTATAAATGGAATTTTACAGTGTGTGCACTTTAAGGTCTTGCTTCTTTCCCACAACCCGTTTTTGAGATTCATCCATGTTGTTACATGTTTAAGTAATTGGTTACTTACTTTAATTGGTTACCTTATTACTTTTAATTACTTTTTATTAGCTTTTTATTACTCTGTTATATTGATTTATTTCTGTGTGAATATATCACAGTGGGGTTATCCATTCTTTCATTGGTGGACATGTGGGTTCTTTCTAGTTTGGGACTATGATGAACGATGCTGCTAGAAACCTTCTAGTCTGGATCCAGTTTTTAGGTAGACACACACAGTCATTTCTCTCAAGCTTATACCTGGGGGTAGAACTGCCCGGTCCTGTGGTGTGTGTATACTTAGCTCTAGGAGATGCTGCCAAACACTCTCCCAAAGGGTCCCACTGGCAGTTCGGTGAGAGTTCTAATTATTCCACGTTCCACTCCTACCCTTGGACCAATCCCAGAACCACTGAGGTTGCTAGCAATTTCCTGAAGGTTTAGAAAGAGTGTAGAAAAATGGCTCCTTTTTTTTTTTTTGTGACACTGCCTTCTGAGAACTCTGAGGTGAGCAGCGCAGAGCTGAGGGAATCTAAGGACTGAACTTCCGTATCTCGAGTCGGCTTCAGAGAAGTTTCTGGAACAAGTAAGGTGATGATGAAGCCTCACAGGGATGCCTGTGCCTCAGTGACCCCCACAGCTTAATGCTGCCTCTGGAGGTCTCCAGCAGCTTAGAGAGGAGGTCAGATCCAAGACTCATAAAGGACCCCACTGAGGAGCCTGGAATGACATTAGACTGAATGGAAGCCCGACACCCATGATATGGCACCAGTGTGGCTGCCCATTACTCTTGAGAAAACCCAAACTCCTTACCATGGCCCTTACGGCACCTGGACCTTGCTCTCCTCCCCTTCCTCACCTTGAGTCTTGCTCACTGAACTCCATGCACGCCAGTCATGTGCTGTCTCTCTTGAAAGTGTCCATCTCGGGGTCTTTGCATATTCTGTTTCTTCCTGAAACACATGACCCTCACTCTTTCCCTGCTTAAAATCAGTTGTCCCTCAGGGCTCCCCTTCAATGTCACATCCTCAAAGATGCCTTCTTCAATGTCCAAAGCAGAACCAGACCCTTCTTTACATCTATCACTGTCCTTTTTTTTTTTTTTTTATAGAACATATCCTAGTTGGTAATTATATTTCCATGATTATTTGTTTGGATCTTGCCTCGATGGCAGGGTCAAGTTCTGTATAGGCATTTCTGTCTCTAGAGCCTTTCACGGTATCTGGTAGTTATGGGATAATCAATAAACATTTGCTGGGTGAAAGAATGGGACATTGGAAGCTAATGACTCACTGGGTTGTTGGGCTGGATAACTTCTAGATCTCTCCTGCCATCTCTTCCCTGCTCTATGGATTGCCTCCCTAGGCTACATGACTTTGGCCTTCTGGTTGGGTTGAGCCAACCAGAGGCACCATAGGGAGATCAGAGGGTAGGAGGAGAGAGAGGTTGGAATATTTCTTCCCAGGCTCCCTCTCTTCTGTGCCATGGTTGGGCAATATCTGCACTTATTTCTCAATTTAGGGACATTGTCCCTGCACCAAGTTGCCCCCCCAGGGGGGCTGGGCACCCCTTCCACAGTCACCAGTGGCTGAGGGCCGACCCTACTGGGTGCTCCCAAGCATCCCAGAGCCTGATCAGTCTCTTTGGGAGGGTGGCCCAAGACAGCCCTCCTGTCCTCTCCTCTCTGGAGGCCTGAGGTTCTGAGGTTCTAACATTCTGCCAGCTGTCTGCCCTGGGAAGGAAGGGAAGGCCAGCACCTGTGGGAAAAGACATTCCTTGACCACATGTTGGCAGGCACCAGGGTCAGGGCCTAGGGGAACCATCCAGCTGGTAGACCAGCTGCCCGGGGAAGGGGACGGCTTGGGTCCTCCTTCTCCTACAGCCTGAGGTCTGTTGAAACTGGTCTCCTCCTCTCCTTCAGCACCACCTTTATCTGTCCCCTCCCCTGCATTCCGCCTGCCCTGCAGCAACTGGTCTCCCTTCTCTCTAGGCCGATGTATCTCCCCTCCCTGGTGCCTCCCCCAGCTTCCTCCGGGCTTTGATCCCGTGCGTGGCTCCTTGCTGCCTTCAGTGGCATGTTTGATGTGTTCTCTCGCTCACTCATGCTCATTTGTGTGTGGCTACGACATGCTGGATGCCCTTCCAGCCTTGAGGGTACAACAGTGAACAGAGCATGCTCCTTCCCTGCCCTCATGGGACTGGGACTGACGGCCCCATGGGGCACAGGCACTGATCGCCTACAAGTAAATACATAATTACAAATGATCGAAGGACTAGGAAGAGGAAAAAGCACACCGAGGAACTTGTATGCTGGTTATGTAATTTGGGCTGTATGTAAAGAGAATAACTTGGGGGTATCTGGTGGACAGGGGTCAGAATTTGGCAGAGTCCAAACTCCGAAGCTGGGTATACGAGGTTGTGGGTTGAACTATGTCCCTCACCACAAGATTTGTTGGAGTCCTAACCCCCAGGACCTCAGAATATGACCTTATTTGGAAATAGGATCTTGACAGAGATAAATGAGGGAATTAGGGTGAGTCCTAATCCAACAGGCTGCTGTCCTTGCCAAAAGGGGAAATTTGGACAGAAAGACGCGGACACACAGGAAGAACGCTGCGTGAACATGCAGAGATTGGGGTGCAGTTTCTGCAAGCCAAGAAACACGAAGAGTGCCGGCAACCGCCCGAAGGAAGGAGGCATGAACAGATTCTCCCCTCACGGCTCCTGGGAGGAAGCAACCCTGCAACATCTGTAGCCTCCAGAACCGGGACAGAAGTTTCTGTGGTTGAAGGGCGCGGTCTGTGGTGCTTTGTGAGGGCAGCCGGAGCAGACTAGTATGGCCACCAAGGGGTCTCTGCCCAGCGCTGTTCCCCTGCTCCCCAGACTGCCTTCCCACCCTGCACTTGTTTGGATGGAAGGGCTCACGGTTCTGGAACGGACCTGCTTGTGTCCTCTTCCGAGCTCCTGCACCTGTGCCTCCCCCGTCAGGGATGGCTGTGCATCCCCTGCTCCCAGAGACCCCTAGGTCCCCCCAGGCCGTCCTCCTCCACCGCTCTCAGGGTGCAGATGCTCCTCCTCTCCAGGTCTGGGGACAAACTCTGCTCTCAAAGCCGGGAAGCTGGATGTCTCTCCCACGTTTTCAGACCCAAATCATACTCAGGCCTGAGTAAATAAATGCATGGATGTCACCCTCGCTAAAGGTTCTCACAAGTCCCTGGAACATTCCCTCAACCTCATTTCATTGCACATCAACTCAGGCAACCAAGGTCTTGCTGCAAATGACTACAACAAAGAAAACTTGGTCTCTATAACAGGTTAAAAAACTAGACTCTCATCAAAATAAAAACACAAGGGGCGCCTGGGTGGCTCAGTCGGTTAAGCAGCTGCCTTCGGCTCAGGTCATGTTCTCAGGGTCCTGGGATCGAGCCCCACATTGGGCTCCCTGCTCAGCAGGGAGCTTGCTTCTCCCTCTCTCTCTGCCCCTCCCTCTCTCTCTGCCCCTCCCCCCTGCTCATGCACTCTCTCTCAGATAAATAAATAAATAAACTTTAAAAAATAAAAACACAAAATTAATAAATTCTCAGAGAAGAGTATATGCCCGGAACCGTGGGAGCTGACCAGAGACTCATGTTTATCATGAAACTACTGTGTCATGGTGGAGTTTTACAGGCTGCATGTGAGAATCACCTGAGAGCTTTAAAAAAAAAAAAAAACCAGGGGCGCCTGGGTGGCTCAGTCAGTTGAGTGGCTGCCTTCAGCTCAGGTCATGATCCCGGGGTCCTGGGATCGAGCCCCACGTCGGGCTCCCTGCTCAGCGGGGAGCCTGCTTCTCTCTCTCTCCCTCTGCCTGCCTCTTTGCCTACTTGTGCTCTCTCTCAAAAAAATAAATAAAATCTTAAAAAAAAAAAAAAAAGAAACAAACCAAACGCTTGGGCCTGAGATTATTCCCGGCTAGGGTGGGGCCTGGGATGACGCCCCACCTCCCTTTTCCCAGGTCCCAAGTGAGTGCAGGTGAGTCTGGTTTGCAGCCAGGATGGCCGGGCCTTGGCCCCCGCTGGAGTCCTCGGAGGCTCCAGGGACAGAGCGTGTGCATTCAGGGCCTGGGGGCATGCTTGCA